AAATAACGAATATTTTATAGTTAAATATTGTAAATTTATTTAAAAACCTTTTTATTGCCTTTTAAATGAAAATAAAGTTGTAAATATTTTTTAATAACTAAAATTTCCCACTTATGTTCTTCTTGGGGAATTTTGTTATCATAGCTTCAATGTCATGTCACGATTAAACTTTAAACCTGAAATCAATACCCGCAAACTGTGTGTGTGCATCTATCAATATACTATCATATCCGGGTAGTTAAAGTGCGGCACTGTCTATAATTTACAACGTTTCGATAGGGTTTGTTCGATCCCCCGACTAAACTTTCTGGCAATGACAAAGTAGCCACACGTGAATCGAATTACGTCGGAGGCGTAGTAGCTCTCCTTAATATCTGATATTAAGTCAGTCGATTCCACCCAGTAACACCGGACTCTAAAGCGTGTGTGACCGAGCGCAATTAAAAACTTTACGGGTTAATATATGAAATAAGTTTTTACATTGACCCGTTTTTAATTATAAGCTTAAGATTGCTAGTATTAAGTTAAAAGCAGGCGTCAGAGCGGTCAAGCTTGAATTATATTCTTCGAAGATCTGAACAATCGATCTAAAGTGAGCAAAAATAAAGGTGAGTGCACTCGCCATACAATTCATTCAGAAATTGTGACTATTAGCTCCATCTTGCTATTTGCATATCGTCGTGACTGCCATGCAAATTAAATTGAATTTATACTTATATTGAAAATCAGTCAAATTACAATCTTTACTTCACGAGCGTCTAGAACAGCTGTCAGATCTTGGTACCTGACTTGCAGTTCGATTTAGTCAATAAAAATTGCAATCAGATACACGAAATGCATTCATCAAATTCTCCATTTGATCTTATTCCAATTGATTTAGATAAATAAATGGAAATGTGCCTGATTGGCTCCGTTTATCAAATACCAATTTAGTTATTATAAAAGGTGCTAACTGAAAATTGTAATTTCTATCTTTACATGTTTGTAAAGTAAGTTTCAAAAAGAAACTGGACCCATTAAATCGCTTAAATTACAATCATATCAAAATGTTTTAAAATCCGCAAACCGGTTATCAACAAAGTAGCTGTCCATGTCAAGTGTCTACGTCATATCTATAAGACATCTCGAGTTATGGGCTCTTAGACACTTCTGTTTCAATTATAATTATCAAATGGGTTTGCAAACGTTAGGTTTCCTGATTGACGTTTCACAGGCATCGATAATTCAATTTGTTATGAACACTGGGTTCTAATGCAAAAACGACTGATTTAATTAATAAACTTACGTTATAACGCTGTTTTCAACACTTTAAGCCATACAAAGCTGTAGAAACGTTTACTAACTAAGTGACTTTGAAGTGGAATCGGCTTATTGTTTTAAATTTAATGTATGATTATTGGCGTAAAGCTTTTATGGACTTGTAATATTATTTTTAATAAAGAATATTTTGCTTACCAATGCAAACGTTATTAAAAATATTTGATATACAATTTTTTATTCCCCAACAAAATTTGCTTTTCTTGTTAAAATTATAATTCAGCATTCACAACTTTATGATATGAAGTAACTTGTATTTGATACTATGAAAAACTTGATTTTAAATATTATATAATTTTAAATATATGTTACTCAGAAAAAAACTTCCTATTTGTAGCTTTTTGTCTAAATTGGTTTTTAAAATCTTTATTTGTGCTCAGAAATGAAAACTCATCTTTTAATGTCCATTATTGCAGTTTCCGTTTAAGCCAATAATAAGAGGTTATTGTCAAACCTTGTGAGTAACTTTCGATTCATTAAATACTATCCTAAAACCGTTTGATTTTATTGGATGCAGTTCATTGAAATTTATCTAAGGTGCGCGAGTAGAGCGTTGAGTTCAGTCAACCGTGACGATGCACACGCCGCACCCCCTTGCTCATAGTTCCGCTAACAATGCCCCAAAGGCCTCCCAAAATCGTCGTCGTATGAATACCACCCATTATAGACATTTGAAGGGGGATCGGGGGGATCTTGACGGGGTCAGCGGCATTCCCAACGAGCTTTTTTTGGCGGTTAGCTTTTTATGCTTGGCCATTGCTGTTGAATTTCGTAGCTACTATATTTGTTTTATTCCAATTTTTGTTGGCCAAGAAGGCCAGCCGGTTGTTGTCGTTTCCAAAATTTGTATATTATCTGTTTGCCGAAGTTGCTGCTGCTGTAGCTTCTGATGTTGCTGGTTGTATTTCTAATATTGATGTTGCTGCTCTAATATTGCTCATGGTGTTTACTTAATAATATTAATGTTGCTGTTGTCTTAGCTTCTCATGTTGCCAGTAAGCTTTTAAAAATATCTTTAATGTTGCTGTTGTTGCCGCTACCATAGCTGTTGCTCTTGCAGATATTGCTGCTGTTCGTGTTGCTGTTGTGAATGGGTTTGCTGCCTTACTCGTTTTTGCTGTTGTTGCTGCTGTTTCCCTTGTTGCTGCTTCTGGTATTGCTGTAGTACTTTCCGATGTTGCTGCTGGTTTTTGTGTTGCTGCTGGTGCTGTTGCTGTTGCTGTTGCTGCTGTCGTCGTATTCGTAGCGTTTTTGTATGCGCTGTCCGCAGCGTACGATGTTCGATTTCAATGTCAATGTCAAACGCGATCACGATCGCATGTCGGATCAAAGCACGCAGGGAAATTGCTGCTGACAGAGAAGCCGACTTCGCCGTCGACGCCGATTTGTGGTTGCCTTTGGTTGATAAGAAAAACTATAAACACATCTATATAATTATAAATACAAAAAAAGAAAGACTCAGTATGCATACATATATATAGTCTAGACTCCAAACAGACTTTCAAGTTTTTGTTTACCGTCAATAGAAAACTGGTTTTTATATCCAAAAAAAAGTGGTCATTATTATGCATATGAAAGTCAGAACTATAGTGAATTAGTAACCAGATTGAGTATTGCAATGAACAAATAACAAATAAAACTTCGCCCATCAATCAAAATGGTAATCAGAACAGCGGGCTCTCATTCTAATGTGTCATAATAATATTTATGGGTTAACAATTAATTGAAAATACTATCTGTGCAAAGCGATTGAGATTCCTAATCGATTACGGTTGCAAATTATTACGTTTTAAGTACAAGTACAATTAAACACTTGAGAAGTGTTTGATTTAATTTAATTAACCATTTATTAACTTGAAAATCATATAAGGGAAAACGTAAACATCCCTAACAGAAAATAACTCAATAATATTTTTATTAGCTATTTTCCTTACTGCAATAGCTTATTCGAATGTACTTACAAAGCATTTAATTAGGATTTTGTTGGCTCAGGCAAAAATTGACGTCGATAACGTTATCAATTTGCAGGAACACAAATATTACAGACAGCAGCTCAATATTAATCTAATAGTGCATCACGGGAAAGTATACTAAGGTAAACCGATTTTGAGTTGAAATAGTTCAACAAATGTTTATAATTAAATGTGCTTTCATTTAACGATCGATTAGAATGCACGTGCAGCCAATCTGGATCAATCAATCATTTGTGCACACTTTCAAAAGGTGGATTACAAAGGGTCTTACAAGGGTGAAACTCACTGTATATAGGTACATATATACTATAATATAACATACCGATAACAATCAACAAGCACGAGTATCTGTCCCTATTACGTTCCATTATTATTGAAGTGCAAATAACTGTATTCCCCTGGGCGGGCTCTACAAATATAGGGTCGTATATCATGATGGACCTGGATATGTTACATTTTCAGCACGATAAGACCGTCTAATTAAAAGAGTAATCGAAGGGGCCGACTTACGACAAATGCCATGTGGGATACCCTTCATGAATAATGACATCTATTGAGTGAAAACGTTTAATCCCAGTAATGTTTAATCCCGCAAAAGTGGAATTCCCGTTGAAAGCTTTTGATATATTCACAATCAATTATAATAGTCTATTATTAATCCATTACGACTGACAAACCGTTGAATCTTAAAGGTGTGAAATAATATGTCTATGGATGATTTGTTCCATTTATCAGCTACACCTTAGGGTTTTGTATAATTTATTACGAGAATGTTGCTTTAGTATTCTATAAAGAACTCAATCCCTTTCTCAGCATGCGTAAGCACTTTTCCAGTTATCAAACTATAAACGAATAGGAATCATCAGGAATGTGGACTTTGCTCGTTTCACTATACTTCTATAAAAACAGAAAGGGTTCGAAAGCGATAATCCACACAACAACACAGTAAATATTCAAATTCAATCTGTTTCCGTATGCTTTTTCTATTTAAATGTCAAAACTACGACTATCTCCCTTTTATCACAGACGGGTAACCTTAAATGTCATATTATCAGTGATTATATAATCATCAGTAAACAGAAAAATGATTGAGTGTGATTAGTGAAAAACAACAATGCTGAATACCAATATACCTAAATAAATTTTACCTATCAGATAGATTTGGCAGGTTGCATTCTCATGACTTGAGGAATGTGCAAATCGATATACATTTTTGTTACAGACGAAGTTTAAAATGTAGTTTTAAATTGTATTTGTAAATTATACAATTCAAGTTAATTAATTTCTTTTAATATAGTACACATTATTTTACATGATCAAAATGCTTTTTGTATTTTGCATAATACCCTCGAAAAGCGTATTTAAAAAACGCAAAAATGTGATATGCATTTTGCACATTGTCCCAATCGCGGACAATACTGAGAATCGAATTTAATTCGCCACACAAATCACGCCGGATAGCATAAACAATGGGGCCTGCGCTTGAAGACGCTCCGAGAGACTGCTTTTATTAATAATATTTGGTACAGTGGGCCCTACGAGCAGTAGACAACCCATCCCGTTGTCCCGCTGTCCCGCCGTCCCGCCGCTCTTCAATCGAATCCAATACCGTATTTCTGCGGTGACGCCGGCAAACGCTTTAGAAAATAAACTATTCGAACGGCCTGCGTTGTACTTAGCCAGTCGCTGTCTGAAAGTCGCCTCAGTCTCGCGTCGCAATTCGAGCGATTCGGAAGCGTTTTGCCCACGTCCGAGCAAAGAAGCATATATATATATTTCTTTCTATATATATATATATAGATAGTCGGTTCTTCTACGCGCGTGCTACAAATCCAAAGTCTTGCATATACCCAGAAATTATAAATAAATTTTCATTTTTTCCCGGCAACTATTAAATACCACTGCTGTGTGTGTTTTTTGGTGTGTGTTTTTGGAGAATACAATACAAAAGTACTTGTGATCGCAAGATTTAATATTCCTTACAAATCAAATGCAATTCGTGTGAGTCAGGGAAAGAATCAGAATCAAAAAATATGCGAGCAAATCAAAAAATCGCACGCAAATGGAATGAAAAACTGGTATCTCTCATCCATTCAAATTTATGCCACAAAAGTCGAGACCGAAAATGCAAACCTTATTGAACTTTGATGGGGAATTGCTGCTTTAATGTCCAGCTGTGTTCCATTTCCCATTGTATTTAATTTTTGGCACGTTACCCGGTTCTCTGCTCCGCTTTTTTTCAGGGGCCTTCGCCTCGCATTCTGGTTCTTATTCTTACTGTAATGAAATCATACAGAAAATAGAGCGTAGACACACATAAACAAAGTGAGGCATAACAATTTATACTCGGCCGATTCTTCGAAGATCAAAGTTCACTGCGAGATTATTTCGGTGTGTTTGGTGTGTGAGGGAAAAATTTCGGAACATCTTTCACCGGGGCATCCATCTCGGCTACGCAATGCGGCCAATGCCATTGCCACCCATCAAGCATACGCCCTGTGTGTGTATGTGTGTGTGTGTGCGGTATTTTAACGACCGAATGTTTGGACTTGTTTCGCGGTTCCTCGTCTCCTCGGGTGTCTTGATCAAATAAACTGGAGTATTTATTTGCATTTTATTAGTCAGCGATTATGCCCTGCCAAATTGTGATGATGATATCACCCGACATGGACGGAAAATGTCCAGAGCCTAGAGCCAATGCCAAGATAGCCCCACCCTCGCGGACACCACGATGCCATTGTCACCGCCGCAGAATGTGGGCCAAAAGCAGGCTCCATTCGCTGGCTGGGTGGTTTCAGTGGGTGGTTTGTGGTGAGTGGTGAGTGGTGTGTGGAAAAGTACAATTTGTAATGCAATACCCACCCATTTGCATGGGGCTTCAAGTTCGCGCCCCAAACTAAACACAAGTGCAAACAAAGTCAGTCATTTCACGTGCAGAGAAAGAAATATCACCGAAAAGTGATCCTGATGTAAGGAATTTGTAATTGAATAATTGACTTAATATGGCTAGCTGTTCAAAAATAAATATATGGAGTTTTTTGTTTCTAAAATTATGAAGCAGTCTAGTTTTAATAATTTTAATTTTATGATAAAAGTAAGAAACATCCAAAATCCATATAGATTCTGATACAGATTTGTTTATTTAAAAAAAATTTGCTTATAAAACAATTACCTTAAGCATTTCTTCTTTAACTCTTACAAATGTTTCATATAAAATAATTACTTTCAGGATTTCTTCTTTAACTTTCCCAAATGATATGGGATTTTAAATTAAAGGAAAAAAGAAACATGTTTATTTATCTTTCTCCCAGTGCAGATGACACATAGAGCATTTATATGAGTGTGCGTCTGGGGGCGTGAGGGTGCGGCTGTGCAAAAGCCTGACCCTCCTTATCATCTATTAGGGCAAACAAACGACTTATCGGTCGCACAACAAGTGCCCCAAGGAAATGGGAATCCATTTCAATTAAAAAGCAAACCACATGGATGCACCGAATGCGATCCGATTCAATAAAGTCCAATCAGAGTCTCGGTTTCCCAGCCCGGTCGGCCTTGAATTCGGATTCCTCTAATCAGTGGAATAGATGATCACGAGCTAACAATGTAGCCCAAAGCATAATTTGATTTCGTCTAACCTTGTCTCCACTTTATTCGTTATATCTATCGGGTGAGAGAATAAACGGCAAGTGGTTCGGTATCTTCAGGAAAAATTCTATTTGTGGATTTTAAAAGTATGAATGAGCGTCACTCAGTGTCTCGCAATTGTATTCCACTGTTGTCTAGCACACACTGTAGCATTCAGAAGCTGTTATCTCCTCGAGGAAATAAAAGTCTGTTTTTCCAAAAGCTTTATCTATGTGGGGCAGTTGAATTTTTTGCGCATTCCCTTTGGGAAAGTCTAGACGATAGAAAAATTCCTTCCTTTATGTTTGTTCATAAACAATAAAGGTTAATCCTAGTTTATTTCCGGTTTTTTTATTAATTTTTTATATTAAAATTTAAGAAAACAATGCCAATTTAGTCGTAATGTAATTCAATGTAATTTTCCTGATGGTAAAGATTTTTTGAGATTGTTTTACTTTAAAGATCTAGACATTGAAAAGTCTTTAATAACCTGTAAATTTAACATTACTTATAAATATATAAAAAATACAGGTATTAAAAAAGGCCACTAATAATTTATTGCTTGTTCATCATTTTAAATACAAGAAGTGGCTTTTGTATAAAGTAAAGAATAAACGGACAAGATTTTGATTTATATAAGACCTTGTTAAAGTTGTAAGAAATAACCGAATGCAGTAGCTCAATAATACTGCTACTTATAGCATTATTGCCACAGGGTTCGGGTTCATTGTCCACACTTCAGAAAGTTTTGCAAGCTTTCAAAAGGTATTACTAAATCTGCTGACAGAACCGACGGAAACTTGACACCTTTCCTGAAGTTTTGACAGCTGATAATTGCCCAAGCCTCAAGTCTCTTCTTAGTGTAAACGTCGTGTCAAGATCTGTGCATGAATGAGCCACTTTATTTGCATATGGCGATTATGCAAGCGCAATAGCGGCTAATTGAATGCGAATCTCCGCTGGTAAATCACAAAGGGTTGATAGCAGACATAGCAGTAGTAGATGGTTATAGCATCAGCTTAGCTTATGCCATTATTTATGTTAGTTAGTATTACGGGTCCGAGAGTGCCGTAATAGTGATCACATATACACGTGCAACGGGTACAGAAACTTTTCCGATCCGATCCCACAAGCGATTGATTGACGAAGTACTAGTACTTCTCTTTTCAGCACTTGCCGGTTTGTTTATGCGATTTGTTTTGTTTATGCAAGACCAAGATTAGAACGTATTATGCCTGGCATCTGTTTTTCCCAACACCCGGAACACAATCGGTGGTAGATTAAATCGCACAATTTATGGTTGGAAATAGTTCTACATAGTGGGAGTAGCAGTGGATGAGTCATGCTCGTAAATAGATTAAAAGTTCTGCGCATCAATAAGTTAACAGAAAGGATTATATTTTATCAGCGGATATATAAGACTGTATAAAAAAAAATTAGATCTTAATTTTTTTAAAAATGGGAATTTTGAGGTGTTTGTTAATTTAAAATCCCACTTTAGTTCTGAGGCATTTGTAACTTCAAAACCGCAGGGTATTTTTTAAAAACTTTCAATAAATATCCCACATGGAAATACACGAATATTATTAAAAAGATTGTGTTAAACCAAATACAAATACATAATGCAGAATATGGGGAGATTCGCCACGAATGACTCAATTCAAATGTGGAAAAGTCAAAGGCAATGTTATTACAATTTATTTTAATTGATAGCAAGTGGCATTCCACAGAGTTCTGGGCACAAGTGTTTGCCTTCCCAAGACATGTGTGTCGTTGTTATTACTTTTATTGTTATTATTTGTTATTGCCGTTTGCCGCTTGCCGTTTGCCGCTTGGTCCGATAGTCGGCTGCATTTGTAATTTTATCGAACCTGCGGGTCAGAGGCTTCGACGGCGAAGGTAGCACCGCTTTAATTGACATTATTTTCGAAGCGAATAGATAACCATGGGAGCCGCGGACAGCTGCCGGCTTTAAGTGGTGTATCATAATGATAACCTCAATTTTATATGTACCTACTAGTATATAAAATATTTATTTACTGCTTCCGTGCGTATTGTTTTCATCACTTTTGTTTACGCTGCGAAGGTTTTTGTGTGCAGCCAAGTGGCGTACAAAAATCTTAAGTCATTAAATCAACGGTCACGTAATATAATTCTAAAGCCCCAAACTCGTCCCCGATTTGAGGCGGACTTTTGCTGTCCATTCAAAGAGGGAATTTCATTGCACAAGATTCGCAAAATGAGAAAAAAACACAAAAGACAGCCGGCAATTACAGTGGTCATTTTGAAATAAGAAGCCCTTAGTTTTATGGCGTTATTAAGTTTGTGAAGGTTTTTGCTCAATTTTAAAAATTATGTAGTTGTAATCAGCTTGGTTTTAATTCATGGCTGTTTTAAATAAAGTGTTTATAAATTTTAGAGTGCAGAACAATAAAACTTGATCAACCTGCTTAATTAAGCAATATTAAAAATTAATAAGTCGCATTTCTTTGTCTTATTCACTCATTAAATTAATACAACCCATTTCATTGAAATTTGTAAAAATTAAACAAGTTTCTCATCATTACCAAGAGCATATATTACAAAAGCAGATGTCTTGATTTAATGAATTAGAAAGGGGCGTGTATAACCCAATGATGTTTAATAGCTATTTAACACTTTATTCCCATCGTTTAAGGCTATGTCAGTTTACCATATAATTATTTAACATTTCTATAAAATTCCTAAATAAATACTTCTTTATTAACTAGAAAGTGTCTTTTTTGAGCGGTCACTGTATTTGCATTGCTCCTGCTCTTTTACACCTCTTCAACTCTATTCATTTTCACTTTTTCTGAACTTGTCGTCAAACAAGTTGTTGTTCTAAGAACTGACCGCCGCAACGTTCTCTTTTTTTTACAATTTCAACGGTTTTTCTCCTTGGATGTAATTCGGTAATTATATGTTTCGTAATTTTCGGTTGCTACTCTTTGGCGGTGCTGCAATCGCCGAAAGCTTTTATTATGGAGCTCGCGATTTCGAACAACTGTTGTTCTTTATGCTCTTTGCAGTAAACTCGATCACCTGACCTACAAAAATCGGGCATATTACTTACAGATCTTCAATGAGTCAGCGCAGAAATTAGTATTTTAAGGGAGATCAATTCCTAGAAAAAAATAATTTAATCCATCTCTACACTATTTGCATACTAATATATGAGCCGTTCCTTAAATTCACTTGTAGGGCATGTTTTATATTTAGCAAATTTCCCCAAGCACATTTCCCGAGATCATTACAGGCTGTAATAGTTACATCATTAAAGAAACTGAAAGTCACGTAGGGGGTGTTTTCCCTATAACTAAGCTACGTGTTCCATGACTAATTGAATAATTTGCGGAAGTTCTTTGAAACTGGCAAGTGGAGAAGTGCGAGGTAGAGTTTTCAGTTAAATCTGGAATTTTCGATTAGATGTGGGACCGATTTTATGACACATTCTTGTGGTTGTGAAAAAATATTCCTTAGAATATATTTTATACAAATCATATGATGTCATTTAACAAACAACGTTAATAAAATATAACATCTGTATAATATCTTTAAAATATAGCAACCCTGAGTGTAGGGTATAAGTACTAGATTATAATTGTACCAAAATTTCACACGTTTTGTTTACAACTGAATTTCGAACAAATCACAAGAATGGTATTTCGCACATAAATTTTAAGTTGGATTTTTTGTGTACACACATTTGTGTTGGATGTTCTGGTTTTGGGCAAGGCCGTTGTTTTCTAGTTTTTATTATTCATAATTGTTCGTGTTGCGCAGGTGTGAGAGATTTGTTAATGCGCTTGAGTCGTAAATTGTTGTTCTGGGCGGCCAAAAAAAAAAAAAAATCAAAATTAAATTGAGTAAAAGGCGACAATCGCCTGACTTAAACTTGAAATTTAACGCCACTTTGCCGGCTCGATTGTTGACTTCCAGTTAGCATTTTGCATTGCCGCGCTGTATATTTGATATGGGAATGTGCTTAGCTCTGCCTGATTATAATTTTTATAAATTTGTTTTTGTTTTTTGCTTTAGTATTTTGCTTTTAGCTGCTGCTCTGCTCGGCGTCGGCGTCGACGCGAGCAGAATCGGCGGCAGAGGCCCCAACGTTTTAGTCGACGGCAACTTCTTCCGCAGTTATCAGCTGTCTGCCAACGGGGGCGCATGCGCAGAGAGGCATTTTGACAAAATCGTAATTTAACACTTTTCCCTTTTAGTTTTCTTTAAAGAAAATTAAAAGCAGAAGAAAATTAAACACAGACAAATAAAGCAGAAAATATAAATCATTAAAAGTAAACCATATAAACCAAAAGCTGATAATAAAAACCAGTGGATAAAAAACAAAAAAATAAAAACAGGGATTAAAAAACAGAAAACTGAAAACAGAAAATAAAAATAACGAAATTAAAAACAGAATAATAAACTTGTAACGCTTTTCGGTTTCGGTTTCGACAGTTCACGAACTTTGAGGTCACTCCAGTTCAAGACGCGCTCTAATTGCCACTGTAAGGGCTTTCAGGCATTGCATTATACCGAGTGCTCAGTGATATAATTTTGTTTTTTTGATTCCCCCTCCGAACCACACACAAATTGCAACTCGAAACCATTGCCAGATGGTTTGTAATCCATTATAAATACTGTTGTTTCACGCAGCCATTTCGAAAACAATTTAAAAGTGCTCTCCGAATTTGATACGAGTAAATAATGCGCACAGCAAGCAGCAGTCAAAGCTAATTAATTTCGATAAGCATCCAAAATAAATCAGCGAGAACGTTTGTAAACATTACTCCGGAATAATACGAGAACACACACAAAATGGATAGCAGCAAATTACTGAAGAATGTCTACGGCATCGACATACATTTCGAAGATCTCGTCTACCAGGTCAATGTACCCAAGATGCAAGGTAAGACTATTAAACTAATATTATCACTAGAAAATATATATGTCTAGAAATCAGTTGGGACAAATCAAATAAAAAATGAATCTCATTATTACATCTTTTTATTGCTTTTATAATGCAAATTTAATTTATACATTTCAACAGTATTAAAGAAGTACTTAAAGTAAATTTCATGTTAATAAATTAACTATATATTTATATATTATTGTTGTCCAAATCGGATTAGCACGTTTCTTTCCGAGTGCTTCGAGTAGTCTCGAGTGCAAATTGACTATCTCTATTAGCCCTGACAGTGGGCCGGAAGTAAAGATCCCGGACCGCAGGTGTTACTCCTTGATAATCTAAAGTCAATAGAGCAAACAGTTATCGCAAATGAAACGAATTAAAAGATTGCGCTTGAGGCTTGAGTCTTGAGTGGAACAAGTTATCATCTTTTTTTAGATTGACCCATCCAAAATGTATATTAAACTTGTTTTATGACGTGAGCAACATTAAATGAGGGCTTTTTTTCATGGCTCCAAACCTGATAACCTTATTGTACGCAGCTTAATTACTCCGCACATGTGAAATATTTGAAATAGGTGAAAAGGTTGCGAAACTCACTTGGGGTAGCAACATAAAAATGAAACTGACTAAGGATCATTAAGCACATAACACCAAATAAACTTGTAGTCAAGTGTCTTTGAGAAATTATAAGTACTCAATTTAAGAAATCAAAATAATATATTATATTTGCATTTTGAAACTACAAATTTTTGCTTCAAGCCAATTTTTGTATAACTCTATAATTCAACAGACCAAAATTTCTACTACCTTATACAAATAGTTATTAATCTCAGCTTAAGTTCATGGCTTTATATAAGGTAACCAATTTAAAGCGAGGTTAATTAATTAATTTTTCGTTCACTTATCTAAATATCAATATCATTACTAATTATGTTGTTTGCCCATTTCTTGTCTATTCACAGAAAAGAAATCGGTGCTAAAGGGTATTACAGGAACATTTAAGTCGGGCGAACTGACCGCAATAATGGGTCCCTCGGGGGCAGGTAAATCTAGTCTAATGAACATCCTCACGGGTCTGACCAAAACCGGTGTCAGCGGGAAGATAGAGATCGGGAAGGCCCGCAAGTTGTGCGGTTACATTATGCAGGACGATCACTTCTTTCCCTACTTCACCGTCGAGGAAACGATGCTGATGGCGGCAACACTTAAAATCTCCAACAAATGCGTCAGTCTACAGGAAAAAAGAACTCTGGTAAGTAAACAAGAAAAACACTGAGAAAAAAGTTGTTGTTTTTTTTATACATTTAAAATTGAAATAATTTAAAATTGCAAGAAAACATACGAAACATATTATAAAGAATTGGTACTTAGACACAAAATTTGGACCTAACAACAACAAAATATTTTTTAAACAGAAAGTTAAAAAATATTTTTCTCCCTTGTACATACTATCTAATAAAATATATGAATTTTATAAGAATGTGATTAAATAGTTGTTTGATTTTTTGTATATATAAATCTAAAACAATCGTTATCTGTAATTTTTATAAATCAGACTGTGCGAATAATATATATATTAATCTGAAAAATTAGTTTTTTGTTTTTTATATATATATATAAATCCGAAAATTTGGTTTCCTAAGATTTTTTGAGTGTCCAATCAAGGGAGAAATACTAATTGACATGTGATTTACAGATCGACTACTTGCTGAACTCGCTGAAACTGACCAAGGCGCGTCAGACGAAGTGCTCCAACCTGAGTGGCGGCCAGAAGAAGCGCCTGTCCATCGCATTGGAGCTGATAGACAATCCAGCGGTGTTATTTTTAGACGAGCCCACAACGTGAGTGAGAGGACTATTGTCCTCGAAACCTGTTGGCGTAGCCCAATCGAACTGAACATAAACCAACCTTGAACCTCTTTAATTCTGATCTTAAACAGTGGTCTGGACAGTTCCTCCTCCGTCGACACCATCCAGCTGCTGCGCGGTTTGGCAAACGAGGGCCGCACCATTGTGTGCACGATCCACCAGCCGTCGACCAACATCTACAATCTCTTCAACCTGATCTACGTGCTGAGTGCGGGTCGATGCACCTACCAGGGCACGCCCCAGAACACGGTCATGTTTCTCAGCAACGTGGGCCTGGAGTGCCCGCCCTACCACAATCCCGCCGATTTCCGTGAGTAGATGGTAGCCAACACCCCTCCCTTTTCCCTTGTCCCTTGCCCCTTGTCCCTTCGCTTCATTAGCCATGACTACTCATTTAAGCCTACCTGTTAATTGGTTCATTATGTTGCCCTTTCTACAATCAGTGATTATATGATACGATCTGGTAAAGCCCTCATCAGCATACATTTCTTATTACCATATTGATAAACCAAAAAAAACTTAGTAAATGTAGGTTCTTTATTAAAATTAAAATTCATTTAATTACTAGCCTTTAGAATTCTTTCTCGAATGTAACATTTAAGACACTTATATTACTGTGCATTCTTCTTCAAAAATTCGATTTTTTTGATAAATGGAAAGTAAAGGGATGAGGCGTGTTATTAAAGGTGTTAATTATTTCAGTGCTGGAATGCGCGAACGGCGATTACGGGGATCAGACCGAGACGCTGGCAGAAGCCGCCAAGGACAACCGCTGGCGATACGATCAGCAACTGATGCAGGGAGAGACTGCCGATCCGCCCAGTGAAACACAGGTGGCCAAGTTCAACGAATCCCAGTCACCTGGGCAGGTTCAGGTGCAGGTCCAGAAGATCGAAATCCAGAACATGGCCTCATCGAAGGATCTGACCAGGCACACGTATCCGCCCACGGAATATATGCGCCTCTGGCTGCTAATCGGTCGCTGTCACCTGCAATTCTTCAGGGATTGGGTAAGCCATATAGAACTATTATCCCATTTAAAATATTAACTAAATGTCTATATTTACATTTTAGACAGTAACCTATCTGAAACTGGCCATTCACATAATCTGCTCCGTTTTAATCGGTCTGTTCTTTGGCGATTCGGGTAGCAATGCCACCAAACAAATATCCAATGTTGGCATGATTATGATCCACTGCGTATATCTCTGGTACACCACCATTATGCCGGGCATTTTGAGATGTAAGTTTAGGATGAAGACTGCATTACTTTATGGTTAACTCTATAATGGATAATGTCTTGCAGATCCCTCTGAAATTCAGATCATCAGGAAGGAAACGTTCAATAATTGGTACAAACTGCGAACCTATTACATTGCCACTGTTATCACTTCCACTCCAGTTCATGTGAGTCTATATTACACCTTAGTTGGGAATAAAAAATATATCTGTAAAATTGGTATATAAAAATATATATTTATCACGGGGACCACAGATATTACTAGGGTTTTGAAATTACTTATAAAGGTGCCTAAAAGTATGCTACTATTTATTTTATAACGTCCGAAGTCTGATGAACTTTTGAATACCCACGTTCTGGTTTTCATTGTATAAATTTATTATTGTTATTGTTATTATTATTATTTATTATTTTTTCGAAATTTGATCCAATCCAAAATTTTTGAGCTGTGAATGCCAATTTGTTAAAAAATTTTATGACGAGTTCAACGATGTATGGCATTCCAACATTAAACCATTATATTCCATAGTTTTGATCAAAAAACTGAAATTTAAAATTAATTTTTTGGAGGTCGCCAATTTTAGCATTTTTTATAAGGGGTACCATCATCATTTTTTTCGAAATTTGATCCAACCCAAAATTTTTGAGCTGTGAATGCCAGTTTGTTGGAAATTTTATGACGAATTCAACGATGTATGGCATTCCAACATTAAACCATTATATTCCATAGTCTTGATCAAAAAACTGAAATTTAAACTGATTTTTTGGAGGTCGCCAATTTTAGCATTTTTTATAAGGGGTACCATCATCATTTTTTCGAAATTTGATCCAACCCAAAATTTTTGAGCTGTGAATGCCAGTTTGTTGGAAATTTTATGACGAATTCAACGATGTATGGCATTCCAACATTAAACCATTATATTCCATAGTCTTGATCAAAAAACTGAAATTTAAACTCATTTTTTGGAGGTCGCCAATTTTAGCATTTTTTATAAGGGGTACCATCATCATTTTTTTCGAAATTTGATCCAACCCAAAATTTTTGAGCTGTGAATGCCAGTTTGTTGGAAATTTTATGACGAATTCAACGATGTATGGCATTCCAACATTAAACCATTATATTCCATAGTTTTAATCAAAAAACTGATATTTAAACACATTTTTTGGAGGTCGCCAATTTTAGTATTTTTTATAAGGGGTACCATCATCATTTTTTTCGAAATTTGATCCAACCCAAAATTTTTGAGCTGTGAATGCCAGTTTGTTGGAAATTTTATGACGAATTCAACGATGTATGGCATTCCAACATTAAACCATTATATTCCATAGTTTTGATCAAAAAACTGAAATTTAAACACATTTTTTGGAGGTCGCCAATTTTAGCATTTTTTATAAGGGGTACCATCATCATTTTTTTCGAAATTTGATCCGACCCAAAATTTTTGAGCTGTGAATGCCAGTTTGTTGGAAATTTTATGACGAATTCAACGATGTATGGCATTCCAACATTAAACCATTATATTCCATAGTTTTGATCAAAAAACTGAAATTTAAACACATTTTTTGGAGGTCGCCAATTTTAGCATTTTTTATAAGGGGTACCATCATAATTTTTTTCGAAATTTGATCCAACCCAAAATTTTTGAGCTGTGAATGCCAGTTTGTTGGAAATTTTATGACGAATTCAACGATGTATGGCATTCCAACATTAAACCATTATATTCCATAGTTTTGATCAAAAAACTGAAATTTAAACACATTTTTTGGAGGTCGCCAATTTTAGCATTTTTTATAAGGGGTACCATCATCATTTTTTTCGAAATTTGATCCAACCCAAAATGTTTGAGCTGTGAATGCCAGTTTGTTGGAAATTTTATGACGAATTCAACGATGTATGGCATTCCAACATTAAACCATTATATTCCATAGTTTTGATCAAAAAACTGATATTTAAACACATTTTTTGGAGGTCGCCAATTTTAGTATTTTTTATAAGGGGTACTTAATTATTTAAACTCTTCTAAATTTATTTTTTTTGTAGATTATCTTCTCGACCGTTTATATAACGATAGGATATCTGATGACGGACCAGCCCATTGAAATGGAACGATTTGTGAAATACCTGTTGAGTGCAGTGGTGGTTACTATTTGTGCGGATGGTCTGGGCGTATTCCTGGGCACCATCTTAAATCCAGTGGTAAGAAAATATATTTAGCATCGAAATATATTTGTACCCATTTTCATCATAAACCTCCCATTCAGAATGGTACTTTTGTGGGCGCTATTTCGACATCTTGTATGCTGATGTTCTCCGGCTTTCTCATCCTGCTGAATCACATTCCGGCGGCCATGCGATTTATGGCCTATATATCGCCATTGCGTTATGCACTGGAAAACATGGTAATCTCGCTATATGGAAATCAGCGGGGACAGTTGATCTGCCCGCCCACGGAGTTTTATTGCCACTTCAAGTGAGTTGAACTTCGGAAGTTTTAAATAATAAAATTATAAACAATTTTTTTTTATTTGAGTTGAACTTCGGAAGTTTTAAATAATAAAATTATAAACAATTTTTTTTTATTTGTTATAGAAACGCCGTTACTGTGCTGCGACAATTTGGAATGGAAGGCGGCGATTTTGGCCACAACATCATGATGATCCTGATCCAAATAGCGATCTTCAAGGTCCTGGCCTACTTTACTTTGAAGCACAAGATGAAGACCACTTGAAGTGGGGGCTATGCTATGTTTGCTTTTAGTATTCGGCTTAATTTGAATCGAATGTGATTTTATGTTACTTATCGCTTAGTTGCAAGTAAACCCAACCTTTTTATATCGGCGTGTGATACTTTAACAAATGCAACGAACCATTGCAATGCCAATGCCAACTGTTGCGGCAACCTCTAAGCATAGCGAATCATAGTTTTTATACAGTTTATGTATGGATAACAAACATTTATATACGTGTAATTAATTGTCTAGTTAACCTATTTTTAAGCGAGACCTGTATGAACAAACGAAATAAAAATGATGTTTAAGTAAATTAGCTAGAGGTGTTTCTTTTAAACTGAACACTACAAATAAATAAGGAGGTTGAAAGCAACGGGCTGTCAATAATAAATAACCGATTAAATTGGAACTTGTTCAATTGCTTGGATGCCATTATTACTGCATATTTTATATAAAATAATAATAAAATCGTTATTATTTTTTTATGGTTGAGGGCTAATATTATTTGCTTTTTTTTAAACTACTAAGCCTTTATTATCTCCCGATATTTGTTTCCGCTTTTGGTCTTTATTTAATTTATTTTTAATATAACTTAGTAAAACCTTATAAAATATCGTTTAAGAAACCGTTAAAATTTTTAAAACGCACTAGGGATTTCTACTTACTCCTATTTGCGCTGTAGCTTCTACCGCCATCTGGCAACATTATAAGAGAGTGACATTTTATTGATGTGGCAACGTCCGGCTATTGCAGAAAAATTTCTTCGCACTTGCAAAACAATAATATTAATTTTAGTACAATATTAATAGAAAAACAACGACGAGAAGCAGCGAAAAAGCACAAAGAACATGTTTCGATCAAGTTTTGACAAAAACTTAGGTAAGAATAAGCAGGAAAGACGGTGAACCACTGTAAAGTTTGTCCAGTTAAAGTGACTCATCGGGAAGCCAACAAAAAAAACATCCAAAAAGTAACAATAAAAGGCAATTGACCCTTCAAGCAACTTAAGAGTGTGATAAATGCACAAAGACTAATAATTACGCACTTTCTAATTGCAGAAAATGCCACCAGCCATTTGCGATTGGAGCCCGACTGGCCCTCCATTCTGCTCATCTGCGATGAGATCAATCAGAAAGATGTCACGTAAGTTTTTTGGGTTATTTCGGGTTAAAAGTTGTTAATTGTTTAACATTTGCAGTCCTAAGAACGCCTTTGCTGCCATCAAAAAGAAGATGAACTCACCAAATCCGCACTCGTCCTGCTATTCCCTTCTGGTCCTCGAGAGCATCGTAAAGAACTGTGGAGCACCCGTTCACGAGGAGGTCTTCACCAAGGAGAATTGCGAGATGTTCAGCAGCTTCCTGGAGACCACGCCCCACGAGAACGTCCGCCAGAAGATGCTGGAACTGGTGCAGACATGGGCCAACGCCTTCCGCTCCTCGGACAAATACCAGGCCATCAAGGTATGGAGGACTTACAGAAATCCCATAATCTATTATGATATAACAGTATACTAAAAAGCCAATCTTAATTTAATAATAGTTACCCAAACATGCTAGAATGGCACTGAAATATGTAAAGATTCCAGTTATAGTTTTTAGTCCTTAGAATTTTTCTCGATGACCAGAATCCATTTCCCATATAAGCTTCAGTTAAAAAAAATGTTGAGATCTTAACTTTTAAATTACAATGTTAGACAGAAATGTATTTTTTTTAAATGTCTATTGTTGAGAAGCTTACTAGCCAATAATATATAATATAAACTTTAGTTTAAAACGATTCTTCTTATTTTTAAATATTGTGTTGTTAGCAATTAAAAATTTTTACAAAAAAAAGTTTAGTTATCCAAAAGGTAAAACACAAATAAAATAATAAGTTCCCTTTTCCCATGTCACCCCTAGTACTAAAATCCGGCCCTGTCTTTAGCCATTAACTTAATTAGTGGACAACAACTGTTTGGTGTGGACAAGAGCCAGTTTAGTTTCAACGTTTAAAACGAAATGAGCTCCGAGGAAGAACTAAGCTTGGAAGAGGAGTCCCTAGTAGACACACCCCATTAAATGCGTTACCATTAATACAATTTCCTTGTTTTACAGGACACCATGACCATCCTAAAGGCCAAGGGGCACACTTTTCCCGAGCTTCGCGAGGCGGATGCTATGTTCACGGCGGACACGGCTCCCAATTGGGCAGACGGAAGGGTGTGCCATCGCTGTCGGGTGGAGTTCACCTTCACCAACCGGAAGCACCACTGCCGGAACTGCGGCCAGGTCTTCTGTGGCCAGTGCACCGCCAAGCAGTGTCCGCTGCCCAAGTACGGAATCGAGAAGGAGGTGCGTGTATGCGATGGATGCTTTGCTGCCCTCCAGCGTCCAACAAGCGGCAGCGGTGGCGCTAAGTCCGGAACGCGTCCGGCGGACAGCGAACTACCGGCGGAGTATCTGAACAGCACTTTGGCTCAGCAGGTTCAGGTGAGTCACCAAAAAGCCCATTTGTATGGCCGTCATGATGGGAGATAGCAAAACATTTGTTTTGAGCTACTAAAAGTAAGCAACGATAAATTTTCGATCAGTCATTTTCAGTACGATTTAAAATCTCTAGAGGGTAGGTTGTGTTTGTGCGAAATTAAATATACTTATTCCTTATCTATGAAAAAGAAAGAAAATAAACAAGCTTTACCCCATCCACTCGCATAGGCAAGGGAATTTTAGTATGATTTTAAACTTTTATTTGCTTGGTTGTGTTTGTCAGTTATTTATTATATATATTTGTTATCTAAAGCAGAAATAAGAAAGATATTCACTCTATATAGTTATATTATTTGTTTAAATACCAACATAATCTTGCTTTTATTTAGAGATTCATAATTGCTTTAGTGAACTTATAGAAATATGACTATCTAAAAGAAATCGATCATCTTTAATATGATTTTAAACCTTTAGTTCATTGTGTGTTTTTGTCAACTATTTAATATATTTATTATCTAAAACTTTAATAAAAAATAAATGGAAAACAACCCCTTATACTCTTGAAATTTACAATTAATTAAAATAAATACTTTAATTCAAATTCAAATTCCAGACACCAGCCCGCAAGACCGAGCAGGAACTCAAGGAGGAGGAGGAGCTGCAACTGGCCCTGGCACTCAGTCAATCGGAGGCGGAGCAGCAGAAGCCCAAGCAGCAATCCCAGTCAGCAGCAGCAGCGACTTCCTATCGCCTGCAGCAGCGATCTCCCAGTCCCGAAGCTCCACCCGAGCCCAGCAAGGAGTACGCACAGCAGCAGCAGCCACCGGAGGAGGCCAACAATCCGGAGCTGGCCAAGTACTTGAACCGCAGCTACTGGGAGCAGCGCAAGATTAGCGAGTCCTCCTCGATGGCCAGTCCCTCGGCGCCGAGTCCCATGCCACCGACACCGCAGCCGCAGCAGATTATGCCGCTGCAGCCGAAGAGTGCGGATGAGGTGCAGATCGATGAGTTTGCCGCCAATATGCGCACTCAGGTGGAGATCTTTGTGAACCGCATGAAGTCCAATTCGAGTCGTGGTCGCAGCATCTCCAACGATTCCTCAGTGCAGACCCTGTTCATGACCCTGACTTCGTTGCACTCGCAGCAGTTGTCCTACATCAAGGAGATGGACGACAAGCGCATGTGGTACGAGCAGCTGCAGGATAAGCTCACCCAGATCAAGGATTCGAGGGCTGCGCTGGATCAACTGCGGCAGGAGCATGTGGAGAAGTTGCGCCGCATTGCCGAGGAGCAGGAGCGCCAGAGGCAGATGCAGATGGCCCAGAAACTGGACATAATGCGCAAGAAGAAGCAAGAGTATTTGCAGTACCAACGCCAGTTGGCCCTGCAGCGCATCCAGGAGCAGGAGCGCGAGATGCAGCTGCGCCAGGAGCAGCAGAAGGCGCAGTATTTGATGGGTCAGTCGGCTCCACCATTCCCCTACATGCCACCGTCTGCGTTGCCGCAACATGGTTCCCCTTCGCATCAGCTGAACAATGTTTATAATCCATATGCTGCCGGAGTGCCCGGCTATCCGGCTCCCAACGGACATGGCCAGTTTCAGGCCATTCCGCCGGGCATGTACAATCCGTCGATGCAACAGCCAATGCCACCGAATCTTCAGCAGCAGCCTGGCGGATTGATGCAGCAGCCAGCGCCGCCTGGAAATCCACAGATGATGCCGCCCATGCCCGACAATCAGTTCGCCAACAATCCAGCAATGGCACAGCAGCCCCCACAAATTCCATTTCAACAGCAGGCTCATCCAATTCCTGGTCAGCAGCCACAGCAAATTCCTGGTCAGCAGCCACAACAAATTCCTGGACAGCAGCCACAGCAAATTCCTGGACAGCAGCCACAGCAAATCGCAGTTCAGCAGCAACCTCAACCGCAAATGGCTCACGTGATGCTGCAGCAGCAGCAGATTGTGCAAACCCATCCGCCATTGGCCAACCAGGCGCCTCCAGCTGCGCAGGCACCTCCTGTCACCGAAATCGTGGCCAGCCAAGTCCAAGCGGTGGCTGCTGCACCTGCTCCACCTCAGAACGAACCAGGACCTGCGCCCATTAAAGCTGAAGAGCCAGCCACAGCGGAACTAATCAGTTTCGACTAATCAAATGTTATTCATTTTGTATTACCCCTTTGGAGTTGGGTCGAAAACAGTTCTCGTGTGGATGTCTCATGCCAAAAACGTACGTTTTGTTAAGGATATTGGTGCCACTATTCCAGTTTTAAGTGAGCCATTTTAAATGTTAAATGAATTTCCAAATTATTTAGTTCATTGCGGTTATCAGTTACTATTCCAAACGCTTTCGTTACGAGAAAAAAATATGCTAAATTTTAATTTAAGTGCAAATTTAGGGCGAATGAAGAAAAGACATTTAGAAAATGCTATGCGAGATCTGTTTAAGCCGGAAGTCAGCTCTTTTATCAAGTTTTAACCATCCAATGTTATCCAAAAAATAAAACTTAACTTTGAATTTTGTGCATCACTTGTATTGTTTTCTTAAGTTTTCTTAAGGGATGTTAAATATTTAGATTTCCTATGTTATTTTCAACTTTTCAGCTTAAAAAGACAATGAATTTATAATTAAAGTTTAATGGAACATTGAAAGATACATTGTTGATGTAGCTATATATATATGTTATTCCAAATAAGGAATGTGTTATTTAGAGTAAGGATTGTAAAGCTGTATTTTCAGGCATCTGAGAGAGCAGCCACTCCTGGCAGGACCTTGCCCTCCAACAGTTCTAGGGAAGCTCCTCCACCAGTGGACACGTGTGAGACCTTGTCGGCTCCTCCGAATTGCATGCAAGCCGTGGCCGTATCTCCTCCGCCCACAATTGTGATGGCTCCCCTTTTGGTGGCTCCAATTACTGCCTCCAACATGGACTTGGTGCCCTGGGCAAATAGCTCGTTCTCGAACAAACCTGGCGGACCATTCCACACTATTGTTTTGGATGCACAAATGGCGCCGGCAAACATCGAACTGGACAGCTCGCCATTATCCAGACCCCACATATCCTTTGGTATCCCCTGCTTTGCATTCACTGTTTCTATTTTATCCGGCTTCTTGTCTATCTTGTTGGCCACCACAAAATCCACCGGTAATAGAATATTTACATTCTTCTCCTTTGCCTTGCATATAATATCGTTTATCATCTTGGCTCCCTTCTCGTCGAATAGGGATTTCCCAATCTCCATGTTGTTAAGGACTTTGAGGAAGGTAAAGGCCATGCCACCGGATATGATCATCACGGAAACGTTGTTCAGGAGATTCGTGATCAGAGGAATTTTATCGGCGATCTTGGCCCCACCTAAAATGGCCAAAAAGGGCTTTGCTGGATTGTGGAGAACCTTGGCAAAGTACTCCAGTTCCTTGTCCAAAAGGAAACCAGCTGCCCGTATCTTAAAGCCATCGCCCATCATGGAACTGTGCGGACGATGGGCAGTTCCGAAGGCATCGTTCACATAGATCTCGCCCAGCTGCGCCAACTTCGCCCGGAACTCCTTGACCTTCTCCGGATCGGCCTTGACCTTCTTCTTGTTCTCGTCCTTGCTGCTGCCCGTCTCCTCGGCGTAGAAGCGTAGATTCTCGAGCAGCAGGACACTGCCCTCGGGCGGATCCTTCAGAGCTTCCAGGGTCTGGTCACCCACACAGTCGTCCAGGAAGCAAACCGGCTTGCCCAGCACCTTCTCCAGTTCCTTGGCCACCGGTTCCAGGCTAAACTTCTTATCCTTTTTGCCATCAGGACGTCCCAAGTGGGAGGCTAAGACCTGATATCAAAATAATTACTATATATTTTTAAACTTAAAAAATTTTGCTTTGAAAATGTCTGTCATAACATGTGTTTTTGAAATTAACAAAAATTAAAAAATTAAATTGGAATTATCTTCTTCAAAAGAAAAAATTCAGTCTAAATATTTTAAAGAAAAATTACATAGCTTATAAATATTTTAAAACTGAAATAATTAGTTCATCATTTTATTTGTAAAGGAATTTTGAAAATGTTGAACTTGTTTATGTTACTTTAAGTATAATTTAATTTCTTATAAAGTTTTAAATGCAAAATAAAGATTTTTTTATAAGGTTATATACATTTAAATAATAAACAGTAACTCACCAGAGATTTGCACTTTTTATCCAGAGCATATTTAATACTTGGAAGGGCAGCAACAATACGTTGGTTGTTAGTGATTTTACCATCTTTTATGGGTACGTTAAAATCCACCCTATAAATAAAATTCTTGAATATATAAACCAAAATTGTGAAGGATCTTTACCTCATGAATACTTTTTTTCCTGCCACATCGACATTTTTCAGACTCAATTTCTTTACATGCTTTCCATTGCAATCGTCTTTGCTGCTGAACTGTCGTAGAAATAAAGTTTTTTTGATTTCATTTTCAAGACATTGATTAGGAACGAATATAAATTTAAAAAAATTACTTTGCAAGCGAAACATAATAAAAGAACAATTGTTAAAAATGTTTTAATAGCAAGGAAAGAGCAACTAAGCAACTGCAATCTAATAAAATATTTTAACTGAATGATTCCTTACAAAAAGTTTGAGGTTCTAAGCAAAGCATAGTTTTTACACAAATATAGGTTAAATAAGATTAATTTAAATATAAATATTTGTATTTTAATAACAAAAAATTAGCATAACTTCAAAATATATTTTTAAACAGGGCAAAATAATAGTCATTCGTTCTAGCAACTTTATCTAGTTTCGACACAAATCTAGTTTCGACACAAATATATAGCAAAAAAAATAGCAATTAAACAAATTGGTTGTATTTTAAGTAATAAATGGACATAACTGAAAACAAATATTTAAAATTGGTCACCAAACTATTTATGTCTGGCAACTCTAGCCTTTAAGCTATCTGGCAGCGCTGTTGTTGAACATATGTTTTTGATGAAAACACAAGAAAAGGAGGGAACAACTGAAATTGTTTGTAATTTGCTTATTTTTTAGTAAAAAAGCAGACAAAACCCAACAATGGGTGGCGGAGATTTAGTAAGTAATGCTCCTCAATTGTAAAGCATTAAAAAAACATTGAATTCCCCCGCAGAACTTGAAGAAATCATGGCATCCGCACACGATGAAAAACCAGGAGCGCGTTTGGAAGGCGGAGGAGCAGGCGAAGATGGAGGAGCGCAAGCTGCAGGATCTCCGCAAGGAGATCAACGAGGAGCGGGACAGGGAGGAGCTGCGAAGGTTGGGCGAAAGTTCCGGAGTGCTGGCCAATAATAGTGGCGCCGCCGGGGAGGCAAAGCTGGAATGGATGTATAAAAGTGAGTCATCTAGCTTCAAATCCTGATAAATATCTTTACATAAATCATATTTCAGACAGCACAGAGCTGATCAACCGCGAGGAGTACCTCCTGGGCCGCAAGATCGACAAGTCCTTTGAGACGCTGCAAGCCGAGGAGCACCGGCAGGAGCAGCAGAGCACAGTGGGCCTCAAACAGTCCATCAATCATGTCGAGCACGACTGTGTGCCCTTCTCCATCCGTACATATCGCAATCTGCAGTCCACCGAACAGGTGGACATGCAACGAAAGACACTCGAGGATCCCCTGATGCTCATCAAGCAACGTGAAATGGAATCCCGCCGCAAACTACTCGAGAACCCCGTCAAACTGAAGGAAATCCATCGCATCCTCAAGACCGAACAGGATCTAAAGGCCTCCAAGGAGCAGAAGAAGGCCAAGAAGAGCAAAAAGTCCAAGAAGTCCAAAAAGAAGAAACGAAACAAGCGCTCCAGCGATGAGGAAAGTGCCAGTGGCAGTGAAAGCAACGATAGCGACGATGATTTGGACAGAAAACTGGCCCGTCAGGTCAGCAAACTGAAGGGAGACCACGGCAATGGTGAGCTCAAGTTGGACAAACTACTGGACGCCAAGTATCGCACCATATCCAAGCAATTGGACATGGCCACCAAGAAAGAGAGCAAGAAATCTAAGAGGAAGAGTAGTGACAGCAGTGAACAGAGCAGTGATGAGGAGGAAAAGCCTAGGAGACAAAGATCCAGGGAGCTCGAGTCGAGGAGACGGAATAAGAGAAGCAGGAGTCCAGAGGAAAGAGGACAGCGGGAGAGGCGCAGGAGCAGAAGCCCCCAGGATAGGAAAGATAGTTCCCGGAAAAAGCGACAGAGCAGGAGTCCAGAGCAGAGAAATAGACGCAGAAGTCCAGAGGTTAGAAAAGAAAGACGAAGGAGCCGGAGTCCTGAAGAGAGAAAGGAAAGACGAAGGAGCAGGTGTCCAGAGGTCAGAAAGGAAAGACGAAGGAGCAGAAGTCCAGAGGTTAGAAAAGAAAGACGAAGGAGCAGGAGTCCAGAGGAGAAAAATGATAAACGCAGACGTCCAGAAGAAAGCTCCAAAAAGAAGGAGAGACTCAGAAGTAGAAGCCCCGAGGAGCCATCCAGATCCAAACGCAGCCGAAGCCGGAGTTCCAAAAGAGAAACCCACCGAAAGAGCCCAGAAAAGCCACCGCAACGAAAGGAAAGGGAGCGTAGTCCGGCTCCCAATCGTCCCACCGGCAAATCCAAGCTAAGCGAAGCAGATCGAGAAGCTCGTCTGCGTGAGATGATGGACAATGCCACATGGAGGGAGGCGGATCGCAGCCAGGTGGTGCGCAAACATCGCGAAGCGTACGCTCGCGAGGAAGCCCAGAACCGCGAACGTGACTTCGACAAGGAGTTCATCAACAAGGAGGTGAAGAAGGCCATTGCCAACCACAACTCCATTGGCGATCGCATCAGAGCCAATCTGAACAACATCCAGCGCACTTCCTCCTCCATGGACAGCAACTTTGCACGCAAATAAACTAGAGAATTCCTTTATTTCGTATGCATTATATGGTTCCGCAACAAATAGATTCAACTTTGTGCTTACAAGATAAACGATGCGATTAACATAAATAATCTGTATATTTTTTTTTGGATTTAGGCATTGGACAGAGCGGCCACGCCCGGCAGTGTCTTGCCCTCCAGGAGCTCCAGCGAAGCGCCGCCGCCAGTGGAGACGTGCGAGACGAGGGCCTCGGTGTTCCACTTGGCGCAGCAAGAGGCAGTGTCACCGCCGCCAATGATGGAGACGGTGCCGTTCTTGGTGGCGGCCACCACGCCATCCATGATGGACTTGGTGCCGTTGGCGAAGTTGGGGAACTCAAAAACGCCGGGAGGACTGAAAATATTTTTAGAATTTGTGTAAGGTATATCTTTAAATTTAGTAAAAACTAAACCTACCCGTTCCACACAATCAGCTTGGAGCGGGCGATGGGCGCCGCAAAGAGCTCACGGGTCTTGGGACCCACATCCAGACCCATGTGTCCATCGGGAATACCAGACTCCACAGTAGCCTCGCTTACGGCGGCATTCTCGGCAAACTTATCGCCGCACACAAAGTCCACTGGCAGATGCAGCTGGACATTGTTCTTCTTGGCCTTCTCCACCAGACTCTGGACGATCTTGGAGCCCTCCTCATCGAACAGCGAGCCGCCGATCTTCATGTTGTTGAGGACCTTCAGGAAGGTGAAGGCCATGCCGCCGCCAATGATCATTTCGTTGACCTTGTCTAGCAGGTTCTCGATCAGCTGGATCTTGTCGGCGACCTTAGCGCCACCAAGAATGGCCAGGAAGGGATTTGGTGGCTTGTCCAAAGCCTGCGAGAAGTACTTCAACTCCTTGTTCAGCAGCAGACCAGCAGCACGCTGCTCGAAGCCATCGCCCATCATGGAACTGTGTGCCCGATGGGCAGTGCCAAAGGCATCGTTGACATAGACATCACCCAGTTTGGCCAGGCTGGCGCGGAACTCCTTGACCTTGGCGGGATCGGCCTTCACCTTGCCACCGGCGGCGTCCAAGCCCTTGCCCTCCTCCTCCACGTAGAAGCGGACGTTCTCCAGCAGAATCACAGATCCCGGGGCGGGATCCTTGCAGGCAGCCTCCACTTCGTTGCCCACACAATCGTTCAGGAAGGTCACATCCTGGCCGAGCAGGGTCTTCAGCTCAGCGGCCACCGGAGCCAGCGTATACTTGATATTCTTGTTGCCATCGGGACGACCCAAGTGGGACATCAGCACCACGGACTTGGCCTTCTTGGACAGGGCCAACTTCACACTATCCAGGGCAGCCACAATTCGCTGGTTGCTGGTGATCTTGCCCTCCTTGATGGGCACATTGAAGTCCACTCTGTAGAAAAAAGGGATACCAAAGTTTATGCAACTGCGTTTCCACGGTATGATTTGCAGTTACCGCATCAACACCCGCTTGCCACTCAAGTCCAGGTTCTCGATGCTCAGTTTGTTGAAGGCCATCTTGGGATTTTTCTGGATTTTCTGGATGTTCCTGGTGTGTGCTAGCAAGCTCCGAGCTGCGATTCCACTGAGTAATCCGCGAATCTTCTTCGTCCGCTGACTGCTGTGCGGCAATGTCAGCGCAAGGTCATTGGTGGGCCGCTAGGGTTGCATCTTGTTTTCCAGGGCGGCACTCCGTAGCAGGCAGCTTTCCGGCAGTTTGTGTATATCCTGCGCAGGACATCCATCTGGATTCTACGAATTTGGGGGACGCATTTCAATTCAGGGTGTATTCTTGCTGGAAAGTTGGCCTAAAACTATATTGGCCAAATGCAACCCTGTGTTTGGCGCCCAATCAGTGCTGCTTAACGAATTTGGAAAAGTGTTGTGAAGTATCGATGGCAAAGGTGTTGATAACAAGGGTGTGGAAGATTCAAGGGGTTCCCCATATAAAACTATTTTTAATTTGGGTTGGTTTATTCATAAATTTATTTAATAATTAATTCCTTCTGATTTAATTGTATTATGTTTAACACTGTTTATCCCAGAACTAGATATTTGAATGCTTATTTAGATATTACACTTAATATTTATTCAGTTTGTTAGACATTTGAAAATAATTAAAATATATGTATGTTGAGATAATATATGTTAAATGTATATTACACTTAAGGTGTTTTCGTTCCCTAATAAAAAAAACCTTTCTGAAAATAATTACCCTACGCCCCTGGAGGGCGGGTAAATTTAAACTTTTGAAATGCACTACATTTATAAAATTATTTTTTTGCAAGTATTGTGTGCGTTCTAGTGCACTAGATATATTTTAGCAACTTGAATAACATAAATTTAAACCAACCCCTTACTTTTATAAGTATTCCGTTTGATTCAAAGCTTTTTCTATCTAATTAACAAACCTCAACACATCTAGCAATACTTTTGCCGCCCCTTTGGCGTGAGTATGTATGTAATTATTGAATAAATGATTTTTGCTCAGGCCAACAAAGACAAATCGCACAATCATGAAAGCTGGCCGTTGTTTTATTTTGGCTGTGCAACGCAAACGAATTTCGTCTATGATGCCATGATGGTTCTGCCCCATCCCCAAATGATTCATTCATGGGTGCCGGTGCCCATTCTCTATCTTTTCTCATCTCGGACGGTCCAAGCAACCACCGTTAGTATTTGCCAGTACCACCGAATGGGTAACCCACCGAACCACCACCCACTCACTTCCTACCCACAAGTGCTCAGTGCAGCGAAATGCATGACGCAGATGGCAAACGAAGGTATCTGAGCATGGGGATGAGCTCAAATGCTGTTCACTTAGAATTTTTTTAGCCGAAATTACAGGTTTAAAAACATTAATCAAAAATTTAAAAAAAAAAAGGTATTTTGCCTTATTTTAAATACAAAGATCAACCTAGGATATACAATTTATTTAAGAGGAAGTCAACTCTTAAACGCAGACGAATTCATAATATTTGGAAGTGGAAATGAATAGAGCAAAATGGGAGAAATAAATTGTTGATTTTATATCAGCATTTAAAATAAAGCCTATAGTTAGACTTAGCATGGAAAAGATTTTAGCTCTTTGTGGAACCCCTAAGTTTTTGACACAATAAGATTTGCATTATATCTGCAGCCGATAGATTGGCATCACTGATGCCTGTCTGTTGTGGGTGGGACAGGGTCACTGGTGAAGGGAGCCTATTTGGGGCATTTCATTTCAGATGCAGCATTGCAGTGGCACTGGGCTGTCTTCTCTCATCCTTCAACAGCGTCGCCGGAAGAATGTCCACTCCACCTCATACGACGACGTCACGGGTGTTCTGCGCAATTAAAAGCACCAAAGAGGACCCATACCCATACCCATCATACCCACTCACAGTGACACCACAAATAAAAACACACTCGCTCCCCTGTGTCAGCTGGTATTGAAAATCGAAGACAATGGGGCTGCTTAAATTCATTTTAATAATTGCGTGTAAGCCGCCCGTTGACGCAGGTGAAACAGGTGAGCAGGTGAGGGCAGAATATCAAGTCGAGTCCATGTGGCCCGGCACTCGTCGTGTGGAAGCATTAGCACTAGCACATGCCGGGAAAACAAGACGCGAGAATACCCGTCTAACACAATGATCTCTTCCAACGTTCCGAGATCCCGAGTCGAGCGGCCAAGCGAATCGACCATCTATCTGGCAACAGTCTAACAATCGCTCTAATCGAGTCGTAAACCTGTTCATGTTGTTCTACCAAACGACATTGTGTACCTAAGCGCTAAAAGGGGACGGCCTATGATGGCTATTATTATGCGCTACACATTAGTTTGTATCTGAAAGATACAAGAAGGCACCACTCGGTTTCTAAAATTAATTTAAACTGTTGACCAAAGTGTTAATACAGTAATGAAAATAAGTACTATTGATTAAAATCATACTTTTAATGTTTTCATTAATAAGCTATTATAAAAATACTTTTTTTAAGCCATTATTTTTTTAGCGAAAACAAAAAAAGATACATTAAGATAAACCACCAAAGTTATATTCCTTTTTTAATCTATTCTTATATCAATAGACAATTTAAATGTTGTCAGGAAACATTTATTTATTCTACCATTTTGTTCAGTGCAAAGAAATTCTCAAAAAATGCATAAAGATACAAAATCACAGATACATTATTTCCAACCTATTCTTTGAGTATATTTTCTATTAAAACTTAACTACCTCATTACAGATCATTTAGCACCCCGCATGTAAGTTGAGAGAGAAGTGAAAACTTAATCGCCATGAATTCAAGTTGATGTGTGTGTTTTAGATACACATGTTTAAGCGTCTGGCTATCGATTGTTTGCATTGAGATTTGTTCACACCTTTATGCTACAGCAACTAAGTGACGCAACGTGTAAATGCACTGGGAGAAATTCATAGGGTAGGTCAGGGATAACATAATGTAATATAGACTGTACGAAAAAAAAATCCGAAGTAAACAGGAAACTTGGGTTAGGACAGGGTCTGAAAAACTCAGGAAAATACTGCAGGCAGATGTTTGAGTTCCTGGAAAGGTCCTTTTTGGACCAAGGTCAAACAGATTTTCCAGTTTGGCCTGCCTTATAGAACCTTTCTTATCGCGACTTCTGCATTTCAAACTATCGCTTAACCTTGAAATAACTTCCGATATCTGGGGCTGTCCTCTGGAATCTAGATACTATTGTTCACTGGCCCGGAGGCACTGTCTTTCAGCCAGAGAGACCCCACATGCCGATGAGAACGAACGATTCATATGGCAACAATGCGCGGAAAGGCCCACAATTCTTTGGGGGAACGAACGCCGAGCCACTCGAACGAATACTAAGAGCTCGGCGGGCGGAAAGAAAGAAGAAAGCCAGTGATTTCTGGCCAAAAACCACACATCACATCACATCGCATCGCATCGCATCGCAATAACGAAGACGCAAATCGGCTTATCAGGCAGCGTTTTGGCATAAAGTCATCGCTGCTGCTCAAATATGTGATAACTGAATGAACGAACGAAGGCCCACGATTACAGGTGTTTACGTTTACTAGACCGCGGATGCCTCGGAACAGGTTCGCCGGTTTTAATTAGCGACCCGCCTGTCGTTCTGTCGTCGACCGTGTTATTCAGATTACAGACTATATAGCCTAGGTATTCGTATTCGTATTCGTATTTGCCTTTGCACGAAAATAGCTGAGCACATGAGTGTGGCTGTGGGGCTAAAGCTCGACTGGGGGATACCCCGGTTATCTGAATTTTTGTGTGGTTTCGATACATACATTCTTACAAGAGCTATCAGAGTATATATGTACATACATACATAGCGAAGTAAAAGAGAAACACGAATTCCTCTTGTATTACTTTACCGCTTGTTATTTTTCCATTTTAATCTAAAAGAGCACATTTTGTGTGAACTTGATAGATCAACCTCCGAATGATCGGTTGACTGATAGCGTTCGAGTAAACAAATTTATTAAATAAAAGCAATATACCCTCGAACACGTTGGCTACCAGGTGATATGTTATAGCCTAGTCGGCGATTTTCGCATATATTAGTCGATTTCTGAACCAACTGGGTTCGTGTAACGAACAGAACCATCAAATGGCCGAACCACAAGTGCGGGATCAACAGAAAGATTGGCACATAAAAAAAGAATTGAGAGTGGACCCTGTTCGAGTGAAGGCGATAAGGACTGACATTTGATATATATTTTTCGCGAAACCTTATAATTGACATTTTCTTGTAGAGTGAGTAATAAAACTATTTTAAATAAGTAGTACAAATCAATAAAAATAAGTCAATTTTATTTGTCTCAATTTATAGATAAGGAGGATTTAGAAGCGTATTAAAAACTGAAATTCCTAGGTAAAAGTTATGCTCTAATGTTTTCTTTTAATTAAGACGCTATATGAACCCTTTGTTTTTAATACACTAATTCATAGCAATGTACAGTACCCCGAATAGCTTTTCCCCTAATTACGTGCAATTAAATCGCTAGAATCTCAAAAATAGCTCCCCACTTTTTGCTAGGCCGCGAAAATCACCTGCTTCCCCACACACGTTACCAATCAATTGACCCCAATCCGCGACGACATTGCGTCCCACGCTGGTCCACTCTATAAATACGAATACAAAATATACAGGCACACACATCTGCAGCAACAATGCTGCAACACGCTTCTTCCCATCGGCAACATATCCACATCCACATCCACTGTTCCGCCGACAAACGGTCAAAACGCCACAGAGTGACTGCACCACCACCGCACCGCCACCACCCCCCTGGAACCCCCACCCCAGCAAACCCCACGAACGCACCACCGGTGCGCGCAATTTTCAAATTTACCGCCAAACGCGCCCACAACTGTACTCACGGAACCCAAGCAGATTTTGTATGGAATTAATCAGGGAACCCACTCAACTCGTCAATTGCAGATCTAGTTTTGATCGCAGCGCCTCGGGAAAAAGGCCAAAATTAAGGGAATACGACTGGCTATAGCCTCGATCGGTCTCCGGCCCGATCAGAATAGCGGTCTTTGAGATATAGGCGAAAAAGTGTGCAGGCGATTTGGCGCAAGAAGAAGCAAGCGGCAATTTGTGGCCAGCATTTGGATGGCAAGCTCAGTCTTGTACGAACCGTCGACGGGTATACATATCGGTGGTTAGGAACCTAGGAGCTCTTAAGCGAACAGTATCTATCGGATGGCGGCCTACCGGAACATATCCTTCCGACTTTCGTAGCGCCGCCTGATATATAGATACTCTATACCTTACAGATACCATAGAATAGATCACCGCAAAATATATAAAATATTTCGAAAATCCATCGCTCGCTCTGGGGTGCTGTTGTTGTTGTCTTCTCTCTGCGCTGCCGCCATCGACTGCGGCTGTACAAAAATGCCGCATCGGATTTTCAGTGTATTGTACAGGGGCTATGCTTTGGCGTGGGAGCGAACGCGATAACGGTGTCCCAGAGAGAGGGAGAGCGAGAGCGGGAGAGCGAGAGAGAGAGACTGGCCGCCTCTGGCGCTCTCCCAGAGAGCTAGTGCTTAAATAGACGGGCCGCAGCCGAAGCGCAGCCACTGTGTTTGCGCTCTTCGTGCGGTGCGTTTCGTGTCTCTCTATCGCTCGCCCTCCGTGTATTTTGCGCTGGTTCTTGTCAACAACTTACTGTGTGTTTCTTCACAACAGCAAATAGTTCCGGAAAAACTAAACTGAAAACCTATTAAACACAAATCATGTCGGCTGCTACGGAACAACAGAACAACGGCGATGTGGCCGTAGAGAAGGTGGCGGCGGAGGATGTTTCCGCTGTCAAGGACGATCTCAAGGCAAAGGCGGCCGCTGAGGATAAGGCCGCTGCTGCCGATGCCGCCGGCGATGCGGCCGATAACGGTACGTCAAAGGACGGCGAGGATGCCGCCGATGCCGCCGCCGCCGCTGCCCCCGCAAAGGAATCCGTGAAAGGCACCAAGAGGCCAGCAGAAGTAAGTACCATTCACCTATTTGTTTACTAATATGATTCACTTTTGAAGTGCGAGTTCCGCATTTTTGTTCGGGGAAAAATTCTAGAAATAGATATACACACGTTTTTCGGAACAGCACGCACTCTCTCAGTGGCTTATATACCAACGGAAAAAAGAGCGAGAGATAGGCCATATGTACATACATATGTATATACACAATCGTTAGTGTGTTGTTTACGATTAACCAAGATGATTGTGGGTCCGGCAATCAAAGATTATTGTTGTTAAGTTCAAATCGGGGTTAGAGGGCCATACGTATAGACGAGTACAGTTACCCATGGGATTTTTCTGCTGGGGTGGGGTGGGTAATGTATTTTTAATAAACCATAGGTCATTAGCATTGACGTGTCCGCGCTGAAAAGCATTACACAAAGCAATAGATATAGCGGCTATAACTCATATTCTCTTGGCCCTATTTATCAGTCACTAACAAACTGGCAATTGCAAATTGCAAATGCAAAGCCAAAGCGATGCCAATGCACTCTCTCAATGAAAACACACATTGCCGGCCGGTAAATTACTCATGTCGTGTTTTCCCACTTTTTATTTTTGGTTAGTGGCGTATCGTTGGGAGCACGCGGTTTGGGAACAAGTTTTTTTTTTTTTTTTGGGGGGACTGGGGTCGTGTCCGACTGTCGCATTCCATAATCGAGAAGCACATTTCTTGATAAAAATAAAATAGTTCGGCCAGTAAGGCAGATAAATTGGCAAATCAAGCGCTTTTCTCAAACTCAAACTCGAAATAAAAATGTACAGTTTAACGAGAGAGAGCGCTCTCTTGGGAGAGACTACCCCTCTCTCTAATCTCTCTCGCTCTCGGAACACAACTCTCTCCCTCGTAATTTGTATACACATTTGTCTGTTTGCGTTTGTGCTTACATTTATCTTTCACTTTTTTCCTATGCGTATTTATTTTGGTACATAAAACAAGACAGTTTTACAGGGTGTCGCAAGGGTCTAGCTAGTTTTTTTTTGGTGACTATAATATTATAAGTTATTGGAATAAATGGGAGTCGGGGCTTCTATAAAGATACTTTTAACAAAGTATGTGGTAGTACAGTAGCACTCTCTAAAGAATTCAGATAAGAATTGGTTTGCCTTTTTTTCAATTCAAACTGTAAGGAATTTTTTTGTCTACTTTATTCCCTATATTCTTTCAAATTAAGTTTTCCATTCAGCTTCATGAAGAATATATTTAAATATTCTTATTTTCTTTTCAATCTACTTTTTTATGCATCTATTTAAATATACTGCCCCTTAATAAGTAGCAAAAAAGGAATGAATACAACTTTTATTAAAATGTCATTATACCGGTCTAATTAAGGAAAGAAACAAATAGTAGGAACTACTATTTAGTACGCTTAATTCCCAAGAATGTGAACTTTTCCCTAATTAGATACTGTTTCTTTTCCAATTCTGAAACATTCCAAACAGGGTCTGGGTTAGATCCCCCCTTGCACATTTCTCGAGTTCTGGGTCTCGTGACTTATGCTGTAAGCGAAATAAAAGAAAAGGGGGCGGTGGGCTGGCCATTAATTTTGCACATTTTTCCACAGCCCGCTTGTTTTCCGCTTTGTAACAGTCTGCTGGTAAATAGGGCCCATGTATTGTGGCTACTCTTTGACTTGGGAACGTGACCGCCTATATACTACTCAATATATACCGTAAATATCTTGTTGTTGGCTGGTTGGCCAGCGGCAGAAGTTGAACCCACGCATATTGTTGTTTTGCGCCTTTTTCCAGCTGTCGTTTCGGTGTGTCTGTGAGAGTGGGAGAGAGATTCATTCATGCAATTCAGGTACAGTTTACAGTTTCTTCTGATGGGACGCTCTCACAGATACTCTCTTTCCGGCATTCTCGCTCTCCTACTCTCTGTCATCCTCTTACTCTCTCTGTCTTACATGGCACGCTTGGTTTCGTATCTCACGGATGCGGACACTTTATATACCGTTTTTCCCCTTATATAGTAAATATGTCGCCTAATACATACAGAACACAGATGTAACAAGGCTGCACTTGTAATCCGCTCTCTCTCTCTCTTTTTGCCGCAGCGAATTACATTGGCGCGCGCATTTTTCAAATGTTTTTTTACGGCGAAAATAACGATTTTCGTCGGTGCTTGTTTTTGTGGGCTGAAAATATACATTTTATGACTATGTACACACGCACAACGAGAGTTGCGAGGGGTATGGATGCCCTTGATCAAGGAGATGTGTGGGTTTGAGTTGGGCGCGTAGGACCATTTCCCGAAACTTTCCTCAATTTCTCTTAATTCCTTGAGTCTCCCACAAACGAAAAAAAGCAGCTCGATATCGAATCAAAATGCGCAAGTCAAATGGATATTTACATGTTTGAAATGAGATTAGGGGCATAATAAATAAAAGCGTGACTGAAGCCAGGGCTTAAATTAAATTGATTGAATATTTTATACATGTGTTGCCCGAAAACTAATAATTATTTTATAATTTGTAGGCCAAATCCGCAGAATCAAAGAAGGCCAAGAAAGCCGCCGCCGCCGATGGCGATTCTGATGAGGAAGATGTTCTGGAGGAAATCGTCGAGGGCGACAGTGAAATTGAAAGCGACGAGTACGACATACCCTACGATGGTGAGGAGGACGACATTGAATGTGATGGTGAGTTTACAAAAAAACCCTTACCTTTTTCCCTATAAAACTAATCTCCGAATTTCCCCTTGCCTTCTATAGACGATGATGATGATAATGATGACGGTTCCGGCTCGGACGATCAGGCGTAATAATAATGTAGTCAAAAATACAAACAAAAACAAACAAAAATTTAAATTAATAATAAATAAAAGTTACAAGCAAAAAACAAAACAAAAAAAAATAATAATAAACCAACAACCAGAAAATAAACCACAACAAGGAGAAGATGAAGGAGAAAAAACCACAAAAAAATCGCAAAAGTATATAATTTTTATGTTTAAGAAATAATTTTTTATTTCTTACCTTATTTTAATTGTATTTTATGTGTACTTTTTTTATAAAAAACTACAAAACAAACAAAAATTGTAATTAAAGGCATTTTCGTATAAAAGCATTCTATACGGAAACCAACAAAAAGTAAACATCCCCACTATATACAAGAAAAAAAAAAAACAAAACCAAAATCTTTCTTTCCTTTATGTCATAAGTCCTAATTTAAACGCCCAGTTTATGCGTAAAACAAAATATACAAAGATTAAAAATGTAGCGTAAACGAAGCCCGTGAATTAAACACAGACACACACACACACACACATACAATATATTAAAATTCATTATTAAATTAGACGTTACATTTATGAATGATCGAAAGAAACAAAAAAATACAAAAGTGAAAAATGGAAAAATGAAAAAGAAACAGCAAATGCAATTAAATACAAAACAAATAAAAACATAAAAATTGTATTTAAATAAATCGCAAGAATCATTGAAGTCGAATGAATATTCTACACGCATTCGACGACAACACTCAAGTTTTAGCTATGGTTTCAAAATTTTTGCGCCCACTGTGGCCACAGTCACGCTCCCACAATTTCCTGGTCTTCGCTTTTTGGGGCAAAAAAAAATAAGACATCGGGAAGTTTGAGTTCTATCTTTCTGTTTCGTTTCAGCATTTAACTATAACTATACACTATGCATAGTCTTAAGTACTTATGTCAGTATTAAAGCGAAGGGTTTAATTATTCTGTTGATAAATTGTGCGAGCGAATCGATTGTCGATGATAAGCTTAATTTATTTGTAAATTGTAAAAACCGACCCGAGAATCGAATAATGAGCAAGACATAATAAAACTTTTAATGTTACATGTATCTATTAGTAAGGGTATCCAAACTATTTATACACAATCGCAAAACGAGTTCTCGAAATATAACGACTGATATTTGACAAAGAAATGTGCCCAGTTGGTCAATCAAGGTACTCGCTACTGAATGCCGCCGAAACCACCCAAACCCGACCACCACTATCCTCCAATCTAACTGATATAACCCATAAAGACATACATACTCTACATATATACACAGACCACCCACTGACCCAGATCGAAAAGCTGAAGGCTTTAAGGCTTTACCGACAACTGAATAATTAAAATCAATATAGCTGATATATATGCCGATTTGATACAGACATAGCAATAACGATGTTAAAAAATCATGCATTTTTGTAAATACCAATTAATAATGTATCTGCCAAGTGCAAAAAATAACCTCCATTTGATAGTGCAAGGCAGAAACAAACAGAACCACGAATCGAAAAAGAGAATATGAAGCATTTTTGAACGATGAAATAAAGTATTGTAATTACGTGAAAGCGAAAACCATACGTACATACCGATTGGCATCTAGTAGATGCCAATAAAAAGTTTGTTTCAATTGCTTTGACGTTGTTTTTATCACTGGAGAAGCCGTTTTGGGTGGGGCAGCTACCCCTTAGGATGGATTGGGGTAGAGTGGTTTAGTCAGGGGTAGGAGTTTTTACCCACCGACATGTAGGTACATAATTCATTGATTGGCCTCTGCCTTTATTCCGTTCCGGCACACATGATGTACAGGATCCATCCCTCCCAGATTTCATGTTTGCGCTTTCGGGGGTTGACAATACTGGTTTCTGCAAACCTCCCTATAGAATAACATATTGAATGCTGTAAGGGATGGTTATGGGATTTAAGTGGAAACTAAATTATGATTAAAATAGCTTTGTTTGGAGCGAAAGTAATTACACAATTATTTTCTTTGAAGCAATATAAGCGTATCAATAAACAGGTGATATTTCGTTGGGAATATTTAATATCCCTGATTGGGTATAAGTTTCAAATTTAAGCGCACATATTTTCATCCCGCCAAACTATGTGCATTTTCCCCAATCTGAGAATGAGAACCACCACTGTAAAAGCTCAATGTATAGCTTTTTTGACACAATGAGTCGTAGTTCTTATACCCTCACGTCTATAACAATACAATTTTAAAATAAAACCTACTGATAAATTATGAGGTATTAGTTTAAGCTAATAATTACTGAACCTTTTTTAAATCGTATAAAAAGATCAGTTCTGAAACAGCCCGAAATATGAAATGCCTTTTTTTTTTGACAGACAGAAAGTTATGACCATCACAAAAATACCCTTTTTAAGGATCTAAAATAATTACTTCCAAAAACAAATTTCTGGTGTGACGATATAGGTATTAGTTAATCTTTAATAAAAATTGTACTGAATAATAGTTATTTTAAGTATCAAATGTAAACGTTAACTTTTATATGGTTTACCTTTTAATTAAAATACAACTAGCTTTTGATATTCCAGTCGAACAAACGAGTTTATTGCACGAGTCATGAGGTGGAGGAGGAAGAGGAGGACCTGGTGACCTTCAGTATGTACAGATGCTCGCCAGGAATGCGTCGCTCCATGAACTTAACAGCCCGGAACTTGAGGCCCTCTAAGTGTGTGATAATGTCCTCCGGTTTGTTCTCCCGCAGAAGGAGTAAGTAGAGAACGCCCCGAGGCGAAAGAATGTCATCCAGTTGCTTCAGTAGAATGTCCGTTACGCGTCGCCCATCCTGTCCACCGGCCCAGGAGAAGACCAGATTGCGCTCCGTTGAGGACTCGCTGTGGGAATCGAACTTCTGGGTATGCAGCTCCTCATCGCTGGTCACCACATAGGGTGGATTGAAGAGCAGCACGTCCACGGATTGCCGACGCAGTGCATCCGTCAGGCTGCAGCGAATGCTGTCCAAACGGGCTCCATTTCGGGCAGCAGTTCTTCGCGTGGCATCGCAGGCTTTGGGATTGATATCCGTGGCAAGACATAGCGAGCAGCTGGCCAGTTTCTTGGCCAGAGCCGTGATGATCACACCCGAACCGGAGCCCATTTCCAAGCAAAGATGCGGCTGCAGTTGCTCCAGGTACTCCAGATCCTTTTCCAGGGCATCGAGCAGCAGGAACGAGTCCTCCGCCGGCTCGTAGACCTGCTCGTAGTCCTCCAGGGTCAAGTGGTCGGTGTAAGGCGTCTCCATAGCGGACGGGGATCTAGGATATGTTGGTGCTGAGTGCAGAGTCGAGGAGCGCCTGTCGCCGCCGCTGCTCCTTCTCGATGAGCTTGTGGAGCCCGGTGAGCCGCTCCTGGCTGGTGCCCAAAACGTTGCTGATCACCGTCACCTTGTGCTTCACGTTCAGCAGCTCCTTCACCTTGTCCGCGAACTCGGGTATCTGACTCTGGGCTTTTTCGATGTCCCTCAGCTGGGCGGCCAAAGCGTCCAGTTGGCCACGCAGCTCTGCCTGCAGTTGGATGGTGGAGGCCACACGCTCGTCCAGCCGCTCGATGGTCGGCTTGAAGAGATTGGTGATGCCCTCGGCGAGGATGTCGCGCGTGGGATTCGTGCAGAAGTTCTCGGTGTTCTCCTCCAAGGAAGTTACAGTGCTATCCGAGTCCATTGCATTGCTGAAATCCAATCCGTACCAAATAGTGATGGGTTGAGTAGCTCCAAAAGTTATCGATTAATCGAATGGTTATAGATATACGATATATATTTATATTATAAGCGATAGTGCAGGGAAAGTTTTAAAAATAACAAACGAAATGTTTATTAGTTTTTTGTTTGCATTATTGGTTTTCTATCAAATAGGATTGGGGTTTAATTTGGGCATAAAATATGTAGCACAAGGTAGGAGTATTTGTGAAAAATTAATATTCGAAATAACTTATGCGACTGAATCTCTGTACTTTCTGCAGTTGGGAGAAGGACCCAAAATTTATCTCTCGGAATTTCTAAAACAGCTCTTTAGCATATTTTGGCTTAACTTAGTTTAAAAATAGTGAGGAAAAGTCAAGAAGCTCAACTTTTGGATTATTCACCAAGCAATGTACTGTCTGAGCTTTTTTTGTATATATTGTTTAAATACCCAAAATAGTAATAATTTAATATTAATAATATTGTATCAGCCGATACAAATATAATGTAATTTTTCGATAGAAATTGACATGTTATTATTTTTATTTGGTAATTGCTAAATACAAATAATAATCTATAAGATTGACGCTTGAGAGTTAAGGCACTCGACAACCCTGGTCAAAGTCCTGCAGTCGCAGACTATCGAAAACGCACATCCCTAAGCTATCGCGCGCTACTTCCTTGCGTTATCGATAGACGGGATGTGCGCCCTCAGCCATCGCTAATAAAGTATAATAATAATTAAGAAAATTTATGCGCTGATTATAGCTGCCGATGAAATGGATACGTACTCGGTGGACGTGGTGTACCAAGCAATCAGTGCCCTGTTTCAGGGCAACAATGCCAAAGAGCAGGAGAAGGCCAACAAATGGCTGCAGGAGTTCCAGAAGTCGGTGAGTTCAGAAGACGTCGTGTGTGCGGTGCACTGAACTATCTAATTTTTGGTTAATCCCATAAAGATCTATTCGTGGACGATTGCGGACGAGCTGCTGCACCAGAAGCGAGATCTGCACGCCAATTACTTTGCCGCCCAGACGATGCGGAATAAAATTCAGAACTCCTTCAGCGAACTGCCCCCGCACACGCACGAATCCCTGCGGGATTCCCTTATCACGCACATCGGGCAGATCGACGAGCAGACGGACAATGTGATTGTGACGCAGCTCAGTTTGGCGGTGGCCGATCTGGCCCTTCTCATGGCCAGCTGGCAGGAGCCGATCAACGATCTGCTTGTGACTTTGGCACCCCATCCGGCGGCCATTTGGCCGTTGCTGGAGGTGCTCAAAGTGCTGCCGGAGGAAATAGACTCCCGGTATCTGCGACTCGGAGCCAATCGACGAGAGGAGGTGCACAAGCAGCTGGACGCCAGCGCCGAGTGCGTCCTTAAGTTCCTGTGCGCATGCATGCAGCGGGAGGATCTCGACCAGCAGCGCGTATGGAATGCGGTATTGCGCACCTATAGTGCCTGGCTGGTGATCCACGCCTTTCCCCTCTCGCACGTGTACAACAATGCCCTCAGCCAGCTGGCCTTCCGGTTGCTCTCGCTGCCGGAGACCACGGGCAAGCTGCACGACAATGCCACCGAATGCGTATGTGCCTTGCTCTCCTGCATGAACACGTCACGTCCGGATGGCGTCACAAACGAATCGGAGTTCTCGGTGGAGGCACAGATCTTTGGGGCCGTCTGCATGCTGGAGACGCCGTATCACTTGAGTGTGGCACACGAGGATACCGACAAAACGATTAACTACTGTAGGATTTTCACCTCGCTGTGTGATGCCTTCTTCTACAATCTGCTGGAGGATCCCCAGAAGCCGCACTACTGCCTGAAGGGATTGGATCTGGTGCTGCTGTGCGTCGGCCACTTCGACTACGAGGTGGCCGAGATCACCTTCCACCTGTGGTACAAGCTCAGCGAGGATCTCTTCCAGCGCAACGACAACAAGCTGACAACGCTCTTTAAGCCGCACATCGAACGGCTGATAAGCGCCCTGTTCCGCCACTCGCAGATGGAAAGCGACCACGACGGGCTCATCGAGGAGAACAACAATTTCTATGTGAGTGTGATTAGGACCACGAACTGGTTAGGTATTTTTCTGTTATATAATTTATTTTTTATTCAAAATCAAATTAATAAGCAATTCCATTTCACCAGATTGTAAAATTGCTTAATGCTAAAAGTAGCTAAGTCTGAATGACATTTCTCATAAAAACCGGTTTCTATTAACAGCTAGAGTAAAAAAACTTAAAGAGTTCAATAACTTTATAATAACTTTAAGCCTAATAATAACAGAAATCATTATTCGGCATATGTTGAAGGGGAGAAAGATAGTTGTATTAATCGTTTTGTTATTTCCTTTTAGGACTTTCGACGCAAGGTTTCAGATCTTATCAAAGATGTGGCCTTTATTGTGGGATCAGGGGCCTGCTTTAAGCAAATGTTCCACATCCTGCAGGTACCGGAAACCACATGGGAGTCCACAGAAGCGGCGCTATTTATTATGCAGAATGTGGCCAAAAATATACTACCGTATGTATGGACTTTTTTCATGAAATATAAGATTAACAATTAACTTAACTACCCGCAGAGAGGAGAACGAGGTGATACCCAAGGTGGTGGAGGCGATCCTCAATATGTCGGAGCAAACTCACATAGCTGTTCGATATACGGCGATCCTGCTGATCGGCGAGCTGTGCGAATGGATCGAGAACCATGCGGAATCCTTGGAGGCGGTGCTCAACTTTCTGCTGTTCGCTCTGCAGCAGAAGAATGGCTTGGCGCCGGCTGCGGCCATGGCACTGACCTCCATTTGCTCCGCCTGCCGCCAGAAGATGGTGTGCCACATCAGCGGTCTGGTGGAGATTGCCCGCAGTCTGGACAGTTTTCAGATTAACAATGACGTGGCCATTGGCCTGCTCAAGGGCATATCACTTATACTCACGCGTCTGCCGCGGGAGCAACTGCAGCCAGCTCTGCGGGAAATTGTCGGCTTCCAGCTGCAACCGCTGGCTCTGCTGACAGAGAGTAGTAATAGTGAAGCTAGTGTCCAGAAGGGAGAGCGCAGCGATCCCGTTTACTGGATAGACAGAGCCTGCGCCATCATCCGGCACACAAATCCCGACGTGCCCGACACCGTCGAGCATCCCACGGTGGCCATTCTGAACGACGCCTGGCAACTCATCTCGCGGGTCATGGACAAGTACCAGAGCGACCTGCGCATCATGGAGCGCACCTGCCGACTGATCCGCTACGGCATCCGGATGGTGAGAAAGCAAGCGGTGCAGCTGGTGGAGCCGCTGATCAAGCAAATGGTAGTGCTATATGCCGTGCAGCACCACAGTTGCTTCCTCTATGTGGGCTCCATACTGGTGGATGAGTTCGCCAGGACGAGCGAGTGCATCGGTGTCTTGCTGGAGATGCTGCAGGCATTTATCGAACCCACCTTCGGCCTGCTGCAGATGGAGAATGGCCTTAAGAACAACCCAGATACCGTGGACGATTTCTTTCGCTTGGCCTCGCGCTATTTGGACTGCTGTCCGCATCAGCTGCTCCAGAGCAGCCTCATCACGCCGATCTTCCAGTGCGCGTTGATAGCCTGTGCGCTGGACCATCGCGAGGCCAACTCGTCGGTGATGAAGTTCTTCATCAATCTGCTGGTTTGGGGCAGGACGAATAGCCACAGTAGGAATGCAGAATGTCGTCCCTTGGTGGTGGAACTGGCCAATCAGCATGGCGGAGCTTTGGTCATGAACTTGATTCAGGCCTCCGTCTTCCAGTTGCACTCCTATATGCTGGCCGATGTGGCCGAGGTGCTGCACGAACTGAAGCAGGTGGTGGGCAACGATCGGATGCAGCCGTTTCTGGCCCAGGCTCTGGAGGCGCTGCCCAAGAAGAACAGCGGTGGCTATGTGACCGCCACGCAGCAGCAGTTGGATGAGTTCAGCAGCACAGTGCTGAGGTAAGGCTTCTCTTTGTTATTCTCTTACATAAACTCTAACATTATACATACATATATCGTTTTGCAGATCTGACACAACGAAAGCCATTTCGCAAGCCTTGAAAACCTTTACGCGACTCTTCCGTTAATCAAATGGAAGCTGGAACCGGGATTAATTGATTCATTTGTACATTTTGAGTGATGTATGTAATGTGGCAAGGGCGCTAAACAATTTGTTAAAAACGCACGTACCCCAATATATATTTATAATATAGTTGAATCGATTGTGTGACGTCATAAGTTATATTTAATTCATATTGTACATTTTGAGTGCGGTCAAAAGATCCTCACAGCAGTTAGCAATAAGTTAAATACTAAATATAGCGCACTCCTAGATCTAAGTTTAAACCCCAAAATGACTTAGAAACTCCAGCATAAGCAAATAACAAACCATTAAATATATTTACCATTTAGCGTTAAATGACCAAACCTGACCGTAAAAATTTGACGATTCTGCAAAAAAACATTTGAATATAATATTTATTCATTGACAAAAAAGCAATCACAAGGCATTGTTGGGCAGTAAGAACAAATAACTATGGAAAATGTGATCGAGATTTGTCAGATGTTTTTCAAGCTGATATGGAATTCTAGGCTTGGATTTGCAGACTGTTCGTCATGGACTTTCAATAATACATTTGTGATTCACGTTGGCGGGGAAAGATATAGTGCATAGTTTATTCACAACTCCCACTGGGTACAAATTACAGAAACGAGTGCACAATATCAAACAATACGTAACACGAAACATAAACACGCTTAGACTAACCTTTAAGTTACCATTACTGATTTTCCAATTTCGCTTAACACATATTTTTCGCAATACTAATATTAGCTACAAAGGTAGACAAAGAAAATTTAATGTTAATTAAACGGAGATTATAAATTTTACTTTAAACAAATAAAATATTGATTAATATCATTTGAAAATCACAGATTTGAATTGCCAAATAAACAAGAGAAAGTTTTGATTTAAAAAAAAGTAATAACAATGTTGGCTAATTTGTTTTTGTGACATCGATAAGGATTTTTATACTTTGTAAACTTTTTTAACAAACTACTTTGGAAAAAAACGCTGGTGCGACCTTAAAGGTTGATAAATACTCCTTTCACCTTAATACTAATTGCACACAATCTATAATTGCACTTTACGCTTGACGTCTAAAAACTACAGAACATGATGCTCAACTAATGGATGATAACTCTGGTGGAGATTCCGATTCAAATGGTTTCGGTGCGTGGATCGATCTTGTGAATGGCCTGCATGAGGCTCTCGGTGTTCGCAGTGTTGATGCCCTGCTTGGACATATCAGTCAGTCGGTCGGTGATTGGCTTTTGGTCCTGGCCGCGCTGCCACCTAAAAGGATACGGCATTAGGCTTGCCAATTAAGGTAAATAAGGATGGGATGGACTTACCAAAGGTGTGCACAGGTGTGAAGCAGAGGAATGTAGAGCGGCAGCAAATCAATATCGCACAGAGTCTCAAAGCGACTTAGAGCCAACAGAGCCCATCTTTCGGCTGCATGATGAGGAACTGGAGATGAGGTGCAGGCCGCCACCAGGCGACAAAGTATCAGGAGCACCGGCCGCGAACGATTCATATAGATCTTGTTCAGCAAGCGGAAACAGTTCTCCAGAATGGGTATGGCCATCTCGTTGCGACGCTCATCCAGAAACTGGCACGCCCTGGACAGTTCATCGTGCTGTAGGAAGCGCAGAAAGTCCTCCGAATCCCGGAGCTTCGTTTGACTGGCCACATATGTGAGGAACGCCTCGAAGGCTGCACTCCTTTCGCCAATCAGCTCAGACTTAAAGTTACCCATCAGCACCTTGGCCGGAAAGTATTTGTTGGCCATCTCGGTGGGATGTGTTCGCTTCAATCCCTGGAAAAGCTCTCGAAAGTCCGTGTAGCGACGCTCGATTTTCGCCGGTTGAGTGTCCTCCGTGGCCCCATCCTGACTCACTGTCAGTTCATAGACCACAAATCGCTTGATCTTCACATCCTCGCCATCGGGTGGCATAATGTGCGCCAGTAGGATGTCGAAGCGGAGCACTGTGCTCCCATCGGTGGGCGGCTTGAAGTCGGCATTAGACGTGGGTCGCTCCCAGACACCTACAAATTTAAAACATTGAGTTAATTTTGTTGAGCCTTGAATCCTGAATCTTGAGTTTTAAATAGTCGAGCCTTTATGTTATAAAATGCAGAGGACAAATACCTTTACTATGAAAAATCTGATCAAATAAAAAGTATTTTTCTTCCTAAGGTTTTTATTTATCCCACTGTAAAACTGCAAGATATCTGATTAAATACTGGCCTAAGTTACTCAATGACATGGAAAATTCGTTCCTGTGAGGCTCCCCTGTGGAATGCTCACGGGAGATTGCTGATCATACAAACCCTTTAGGAGCGCCTTATCGGATTCCGGCGGGGGAATGTCGAGGGCCGCCGCCTCGATGGCTGGACTGTCCAGCTCATCCGGACCAGGTGCCTCCCCATCGAAGGACGGTTGGTGGGGCAGCAGGCGCTTTGCCATCACGGCGTGAACTGGGGAACAAACATGAAAACACCAAATAACGCAAATCATCAACGAAGACCTGCTAATTGGATGAAAACTTTACTCACTGGGCATATGTATGCGTGGGGGTCTCTTAAAAATCTCTTTGTGCTTTTCGCTGGGCTGCTGCTTTTACGATCTGCAGCTGGGCACTTGCAATTTGCTTCTGGTTTACGGCGGATGCGGATTATGCAGTTGGCATAGTGCGGCCGAGTTGACTCAATTTACAATGACTAATCCCGCCCCAAACAAAAATATTGTAAGTGGGACGGACCCCTTTGTTTAGTGCGGGTGAAACGCGCTGAGGCGACTAGTGGAACACCCTGCGCGTGGGAGAATAGTAATTTTTATTTAAAAAAAACTAATTTATATGTATGCAAATGGTATTAAAATAAGTACCAATATTATTTATTTTATGTTTAATTAACTCCCATTGTAGTTTTAGGCACATACTGATTATATAAAAAACTTGTGAATAAAGTTTAATTCAAAATGTAACGGACTCTACATGGTAGGGTATGAAAACATTGCTCTTTTTCGATATGGCAACTCTGAAAACTTTAATGGACATATGCGATTAGCTGATACCTTTTTAATATATAAAATCTTGTTTCTGATTCATGACTTATTCTTGGACATGTACCCTACTAGCTTTCGTTACTCTTTTAAAATTCTTTATAACTAGGTTTATTTTTAAATTAAGATATATCTAAATTAAGCTCTAGACATTTTAAACCTTACATATAATATCAAAAGACCTGAACGTGTAGGGTATGAAAATAACGAATCAGCGTAGTGTGGCATCCCCAAAGTCACTGCAACGGTCTGGCAGCACGCGGCTTTCTTGTCAGCTCTGCTTCCTCTTCCCACGTAAACCAAAACACCCACAAACCAAGCGGAAAACCAGGAATCTTACAAAGAAAAGATGACGTTGCCCGAGTTCTTTGGCTGCACCTTCATCGCCTTTGGTCCGCCCTTCGCCCTGTTCGTCTTCACCATCGCCAATGACCCGGTGCGGATCATAATCCTGATTGCGGCTGCCTTCTTCTGGCTCCTGTCGCTTCTGATCTCTTCCGTGTGGTACGCCCTGATTCCACTGAAGGATTTCCTGGCCTTTGGCGTGGTCTTCTCGGTGTTATTCCAGGAGGGCTTCCGGTACATTATCTACAGGATCCTGCGCAGCACTGAGCAGGGTTTACATGCCGTGGCGGAGGACACACGGGTGACGGACAACAAACACATCCTGGCCTATGTCTCAGGCCTGGGATTTGGAATTATATCTGGAATGTTTGCACTGGTCAATGTGCTGGCTGATATGGTAAGTGGATGACACATATCAGTATGTTTCGGATAAAGATATTTCCTGCTTTTCAGAGTGGTCCCGGCACAATGGGCTTAAAGAGTGGTTCGGAGCTGTTCTTCATCACTTCGGCTGCCCAGGCTTTGTCCATTATCCTACTGCACACCTTCTGGAGCGTCATCTTCTTTAACGCTTTCGACACAAACAACTACATTCATATAGGCTATGTGGTGGGCAGCCACCTGTTTGTCTCCTTGATTACTCTGCTCAACGCCAGTGAGCTTTATACCACCACTTTGCTGATCAACTATATAGTCACCATCGGCACGGGTGTCCTGGCATTCCGAGTGGCTGGTGGAACATCGCGCAGTTTCAAGAAATTTATAACATGCCAATGAACAAGCGTCTAGTATTAACCACCTAGTTTATAGGCTTTGAATAACATTATATATAAATAAAAAATTAACCTGTAAATGCTCTATGGAAATGATTAACTTTACAACTTCAATTTTTGAGTACACATAAATGCAAAAAATAACTTTCGATTTTCAGTCCCTATATATTTGTTAGTTGCCCATAGCCCTAAATTAAGATTAAGATTATGATTTAAGACAAGCTCTATTTAATGAGAAGATAAGTACTACAACAAACATACAACAGGCGTTAGTAAGCCTCTAATTACTGACTATAGTCCATTTTCCTAACATTGATCCCGTAGTCGGCCAGAGCAGGCTGCAGATCCTCCATAGTTAGGGTGAACTTGCGATCCTTGGCCTTGGAACCGCCGGGCGTGTTGGTGGTTTGCATATGGGTCCGTGCCTTGGAATGCTGCAGTGCATCGTCGATAATGTCGGACATGTACTTCTGGGCAGCCAAACTGATCAACCGGACGATGCGCTTGTCATCCGACTGGAATCCGCCCATATTCAGATAGTGCGAGGTGACCGCATCCGGAATCAGCGGAGTATAATCCTCCAGTTGCGACATGAAATCGCTGAGATGCGAGGCCGGCGTGTTCCGCTCACGATCGCCGCCACCTATGCCTGCTGCTCCGGAGGATTGTCCGTGGTTTCCCTGTCCACTGGCACCACCAGCGCTGTTGTGGTAAATAATGCCAAAATTGGAGCCCACCATTGTAAATAGAAATCAATTCGCAAAATATCCACAAAAATAGTGATGGGAGAACGTGGGTTATCGCACAAGCGATACTTGGATAGTGAGATGTTATCGATTATTTATGGATTACAAACCATAAATGTAAATACATACATACTAACGTTGTGCTTAACGAAAACAATCACAATTTCTAGAAATAAAGAAAAGAATACTGCAAAACAATGGCTTCTGATGGCGAGGATGTCAACATAACACCTGCCGAATCTGTGGCCTCCGCCACGGACACCGAAGACGAGGAGTTGGAGCCACAATTGCATTCCGACCTGGATTCCGATGCGGAGGACCTGGACGTTGAAGAAGTCCCAGCCACCGCTGAAGATGCCGATATGGATGAGCTACTGCGACAGCTGGAGGACTACACGCCCACCATTCCAGATGCCCTGACCATGAACGCCCTGAAAACGGTAGCCATTTAATGGGTGATCTTTAGGGGATTGCCAAATACTGATATTATATACTTTACAGGCTGGTTTCTCCTCCGTGGACCCCCAAATAGTGCGCCTCATCTCTGTTTCTGCCCAGAAATTCATCTCGGACATTGCCAACGATGCACTGCAGCATTGCAAGACGCGAACCACCAACATCCAGCACTCCAGTGGCCACAGTTCCAGCAAGGATAAGAAGAATCCCAAGGATCGCAAGTATACACTGGCCATGGAAGATCTGGTTCCGGCTCTCGCGGATCATGGCATCACCATGCGCAAGCCCCAATACTTCGTTTAAGTTTAGTTATAAACAGAATGTTCTATAGTTAGTATGCAATCTAAAATAGATATATTTCCTTTCAGGGTTTTCAAATAACAGAAAACTTTCTCTAACAACTTTAAATTTTGAAAAGAATTTCCAAATTAGAAATTTGGCGCCACAGCATTGAAGAATTTGTTGGCCAGCTCGATGCCAAAGAAACAGGCAGCATTTGCGGGAAAGGCGCGAATCATGATGGGAGTCACGCCTCGATAGAGAGCTAGGGGACCATCCTTAACAATCAGATCCTTGAAGACACTGCGAATGCCATGTTTGTAGGTTCCCTCGGGCGCCGATTGAAGGCGACTCTTGAGTACATCGGCTGGCATGCCCAGAATCCAGTAGGCCATGCCCGCAGCACCGCCAGCCAGAATCGTTGAGGTAGTACTAATTTGTCCATTCTCTGACTTGGACTTGGCCACATCCTGAAGGGCTTCATAGACCAGGAAGTACAATCCATTGGCGGGCAAATCCCTGAGCATTGTGGCGCAGCTGCCCTTGAAAACGCTGCGAAGTCCTCCCTCTTTGTAGAGTTTTCCGGCGCAGTCAATCATTCCGTTGTACTTGCGCTGGCCACCTTGACCTTGCTGCGTCTGCAAAAGCACCTTGATCCGCTCTCCGGGAGCCATTATCAAGGTGGAGAACAGACCGGAGAATGATCCAGCCACGAAGATTTGGGAATAGGTGAGTTTGGCATCTTCTCCACGCTGCTGAAGACGCTTTCCCAGGGCATAGCCGGCGAAACACATGGCAAAGATGGGCGCAACTCCTGTCAAGGGCGCGGACATGCCCTTGTACAATCCGCGGACTCCTTCGTTCTTGATGGTCTTGGCGGCACAATCGAAGGTTCCCCGGTACATGGGCTGTTCTCCAGGTGCAGGTCTTGGCATCGTCTGCAGGCGCACCTTGATGGTGTCCAATGGATGGCCGGATAGCACATTGCAAATGCCTCCAAATCCTCCGGTGAGGAAGGATTTCACGGGATTGGCCTTACGCTCCGCCACGGTGGAGGATGACGACGTGGATGTGGTGGACACTTTCTCAACGGTGGCCATGACTAGCAATCTTTCCTCGTCGATTTCGGAACTAGCAATGCCCTTTCTCGTGTGAATCTCAATTGGATTGCTTGGAATTTGCACCTAGCCGATAGTTGTGAACTAATCTTAAAACATATTAATGCGATAAGAAGGACGGCGTCGTCATTACGTCATAAAAAAACCGATTTCTATTTTGGTTTTCTCAAATGAATTAGTCTAGATTTTATCACAAAGATATTTTGCCACGAAGGAACTGGAACTTGTTGTTGTGAGTAGTTTTACTGGTTTAACTAAAGATCTCTTTTGAATTTCATCTGTTGCTTGCGAGGGTTCAAAGTCCATGTATGTTTGGTTTTCCCTTAAAAACCTTTAATTTAAATTTGTTTCCCTAATTTAATTGAAGGACAAAGTATACATTTATCTTTAAGTCTTTTATACACCTGTAATATATATTTTTTAAATAAAAATTTAAAATATTTGACAACGCAACTGTGAGCTTTAAAATAACCTAAATTTGGACATGCTAGGGACTTTTTTAAAGCCGAGTTGGCAGCGCTTTTTCGATGTTCTTGTCGGCCGGCCGGAATTTTGTTCGTGTTTTCAGGTAAGCGCACGCGATTCACACTTAATTATCTAAAGTGCAGCGATTATATAGCCTATATCTTATTTCAGTACCCGTCATATAGCAACCTGCAGTGCTAGAATGGCGAGCGAAGTGGAGAAATCGCAAACGGCAGCAGCCAGCGAAGATACAATTTTTGGCAAGATTTTGCGCAAGGAGATTCCCTGCAAGTTTATCCACGAGGATGATAGGGTAAGGGTTAAAGTCTGAGTGGTTAGCTAGACGGATAAACTAATCTTTGTAATCTATATCAGTGCGTGGCCTTTCACGATGTGGCTCCCCAGGCCCCAACCCATTTCCTGGTGATTCCCCGCAAGCCGATTGCCCAACTTTCGCTAGCGGAGGATGGAGATTCGGATCTGCTGGGCCATCTCATGCTGGTGGGACGCAAGGTGGCCAAGGATCTGGGATTGGAGGAGGGCTACCGCGTGGTCATCAACAATGGAAAGCACGGCGCCCAGTCCGTTTACCACTTGCATTTGCACTTCCTCGGCGGCCGCCAGATGCAGTGGCCTCCCGGCTAAGATTGTCATCATAATGTCCAGAAGATCATAATATCCAGGTGATTTAAGATCTAAGATCAATAATCCTCCAGAGGGGTCTAGGAACACCAAGATAGTTATTCAAATAAAATTTATTAAAATCAACACCAAAGCTAATCACTTTTGTCATTTATAGGAAAGTTGATTTTTAAGAAGAGTTTATACCCCGGGAAGGAAACTATAAAAGTTTAAGTTTCTTTATTTGAAACAAACAGACAAAAGTTATACCTTCATAACTGAAATGCAATAGAAACCCCTTCAGTGTCCTTACCATCTGCTAGAAAACCAAAGTCTCCGGCTAAATTTTTTCCATAAATATTATTAAAAATCAACAAGGAACTAGAAAATATAAGATGAGATCTTTTCAAGTGTCGTGGGATTTAGAGATTGGAAAATGCTCCTTGAACTCGACGACGCGATCGAGAAAGTCGCGCAGTTTGCCCTCATTGCGGCTCCTGTCTGCGAAACTCTCGGAATCCTGGCAGTTTAGAAGGATCTCGTCCGCCTCCAGCTGGTGGGCAATGCTCCCACCGCGACGCAAGGGTCGGCGGATCAACTTATCCAACCTGGTGCCCACCACCAAGATTGGGACATGTTGGCGCCCCAAAATGGGTCGTGTTCGCCGGTGGCGGTACTTGCATATCTGACGCAATGGCTCGTACAGCCAATCGTGCAGGCTGTCTTGGGAGCGCAGGTCCTGCAGATTGTAAACGAGGACAATGCCATCGATGTTCTTATAGAAACTATCGCGATGCTCGCGGCGCATGCGCATTTCGCTGTTTAGATCATAGAACTCCACAAAGTACAGGATGCCGCCACTGGCGACGCTGTTGGGCATTCTGCGTGGGTACGGGGAATGCTTTCCGGAGCGTTCCGAGGAGGAGGACGATGTCCAGGTGGGCGTGGGTGGCAAGGACACCGAAATGGAGTACTCATGCAGACGCACCTGGACATTCCACAATCCCTCGCCCACGGTGCGGGACGCGGGCGTGGGCGTTATAGCACTACTGGCCAACAAATTGGTCAGACTGGTTTTGCCCACACCTGGAATTATCAAATTAAAGAGTAATTAGCACTATCCTAATTTAATATCAAAGTAATCCCACCTTTATCACCCAGCATTAGGATGCGAACCGTGGATACATCTTTAATATGTTGCTGTTTTTGTTTCATTGCTGTTCCTGGTTTAGTTTTTTAAGCTCTGAGTGCTTGGCCTTTTAGTTTAGTACTACGTAAAACATATTATTTTATGTTTAACCAACTAATCCCTAGATCCTCGCCTACTTTGTTTCAATTAATTTTTTTACAGGATCCACAAATTATTCCACTATTAGGGCTGACATTTTTTAATGTTTTAGGTTCATTTTTTGTTTTAAAGCGAAAGTAGGCTACGTTTTAACTGTTTTCAATAGAATTCCCTGGTCAAATTGAAGATTTTCTAGAACAAAACACAATTCTAAAGAAATGGAAAGCTATCGTGGCTATCGATAGGTCTGTAGCGTATCGAATATGTTAATTCGTTCCGCCTTTTTAAAAACCACATCCGCTGCCTTTGGTTGCAGATTTAAAACTAACTGGACTTTGTTGTGCTGTGCTGTAGATAAGAACATTTCCCAGCCTTTAAAAATAATAATGTTCAAGTGTCAACAAAAAATTTACGCACACAAGATTATGCTGCTGCATAATGACACAGAGACGGTCAAGAAAAAAGTAATCGAAATTAAAGTAGTACTAAATAAGTCTTAATATTTGGTTACATATTTTATATGTTCAATGCTGAATTAAAGTATAGATAACACATATTAAATGGCTTAATTGTTTTATAATATTCCAAAATTAAAAAAGTTTTTAGTAGTGATAGTCCAGTAAACAGAATAAGGTTTAAGTATTACAAAATAAATGAAAATTCGTTTTAGTAGTTTTTTTATATTTGTATACTAAAGTATAAACAAACAAACCTTTATAAATATTATAAATTTAAAAAATTCAGAGTTGTCAATGAAATTGTTATGGGCAAATACAAATTAAATTTATGTGTTCAGGGCTATAAATCTGAGCTCACATGTTCTTAGTTGTTTTTCGAAATACGAGATAAGGCCAAAGAGCTTATAGGAGATTAAATATTAGGCCGGGATGAAGAAAGAAAATCACGATTATTAGTTTTCAAACATTTGTTTATTGTTTATAAACATTCCTCGTCTCATTTCACATATGTTAGTTCTTGTGTGTTCTGTGTATATCTGTGTCGTTCACATCGCTAGTGTTTTACATAGATCTTCGTTCTATCTGTTGCTGTTGCTTTGGGTCTTTTTTTTTATTGTTGGGGGTACGGCTTCAAAAGTTTGGGGCCGTAGGCTCACCTGCGATTACCGCTAACCGTACACAGGTGTTAGAGTTCACTTGTGTGTGTCTTGTTTTAAATTCTTTTTGCCTCGGAAATAAAATGCTATGCTTGTCTTGCAATACAGTTGCATTATAGTATGTATATATATATATGCAGTTTATTCAATAATATTCTTTCGCTTGCAACTCTGCTTGCAAAGCCTCAATTAAAGATTCGTTTGGTAATAGCATTTAAAACATATATTACTATTATATGTGGTTTTGCTTTAGTGTTATTCTTTGTTTTCTTACCATATAGTAAATATAATTTATTTAAAATTCAAAAACAGCTATAAACAGTTTATCGTAAACAACAAAACTCCGGAAAGAGTCATCAAATGATATCCGCGAGTGTAGGTGCTGGATGAGAGTGTACGAGTATGTGTAGGTACACTAAAAAATAACAGTTGTGAAATTTCTAAATTCGTCATTAAAAATTTTGAAAACTTAAGAAATTTGAAAAAAAATATGAAATCAAATTTCCTACAATTTTAAAAGTGTACCAATTGATTCATTTTAATGGCGAATTTCTGCATTTCACAGCGCTTATTTTTTCGAGCGTTTATAGAGTCTGGATCTGAACCGAAGGATGGAGATTTCCTGCGAGACGTACGTGGGTGGACCTTATGTATGTCCGTGTGTATATCGTTTGGTTATGTTGATAATTATATTACCGTATGGTGTGTTCATACTATGCGGTGCTGTCGATGGTTATGTATAATGTTTGCTGCCCCCCGTCCGATCGCTGGGTATATAAAATGATCTCGTCAGAGGGCTTATCTTCTGCATTATGTATGTATGTTTCGTATCTATGCATATAATGCGCACGCTAGGTGGCCAGATTAACTCATATTAACATCAAACATTTTCCTATATCTTGGGTCTGTTGTACCTATAACGCATATTTCTATATCTTTGTTGTATTTGTCGTTACTCATTGTTCTTTACTTGCTCCTCGATCGTTCCCTCAGGTGCGCTCTATATGTATAATATCCCGAATCCACTGATTATATTCCCATTCACAAATTACAAACTTTTTCCAGGGTTCGTTTCAGTTTAAAATACATAGGTGCATTTTTGTTTTGTTTCCAGTGTGAGTGTTGGAGATGTTGTCAGTGGAATCGGGCTATAACTATGGTGAATGGTAGGATGCTCGATCCTGATCTTTTGATCTTCTTCGATATTGAATCCTAGGTCGGTTTTTATGCTTTTGTCTGGTTGCTAAATGCATAATGCCTGATTTATCGAATATAAATTACATACATACATATCTAGAAAATAAAAGTACATGGACTGCTACATTATTTTGTTGTCGTTTTTTTTGTTTGTTTTTTTTTCTGTGGCCTATTTTAGATTCTTATTTAGTTTTAACTTCTCTTCTTACTTTCATGCTCTCTGAATTCTTCTACTGATTTGTGCTTTCGTGATGGGCTATGCGCTGCATTCTGCTTGCTTTGAGAACGTTTCGAAATCAATATAAATTACATATACAGATATTGTATAACTAACGGTAATCGGTAATCATATACACAATTACGCGTATATTTTATAATACATTTATATGTTCGACTTGCTTTTGGTCAGTTCATGGATGTTCTCAGTGTTTGGGTGTGTGTTATCATGTGTCTGTGTGGGTGTTTTCTGGGTGTATGTGTGTGTATGTACATGTCGTTTTGGGCTAACACTTACACGGCCTTCGTTTTGGCCAGTGTAACGCTGTGTAAATAAATATATACCAACTAAAAGGAAAACACAAATGAAATTTTTGCTTTGTTTTGTTTAATATTTTATATATATAGGTGTATATATAATTTGTTTTATTCACTTTCTCAGTTTTAATTTAAATCAATAATCAACATCATTTTATATAATTTCATATAATTTGTTTAATATGCAAGTATATATAGTTTGTTGTCTTGTTTGTTTCATTTTGTTGCTGTTGTGGTTAGGCTTCGATTTTTTTTGTAAGTAATTTACCATTTGTTTAATACATATGTGTCTTTTGTGTCTTTGTCTTTTGTTGCTGTTTTTGGGTTTGAGATAATTTACAGTAATTATTTGGAAAAGCAAAGTTATTTATTTTTTTATTGAACAATACTCGTAATAAGTAGTATAACTTGTTTTTCCTGGCGTCCACTTCGATTTGTTAAATTTAGATGAATTATATTACATAAATATTTTTGGTATTTTCTCGATTTGTAAGTTTGCATTTTTGTGTTTTTTTTTTTCATTTATGCATTTCTCTTGCTTCGGTGAACATAACTACAACTGTGTAAGTGTGTGTACAGGGGATACACAGATCCCTAACTACGCTTTATCATTATCATTATAATATACCATTTACAGGACAAAAAACATCTAATGTATTAGTTGAATTTCATTTACTTTCAATATGGAAAAAATCAGAAAACCATGGCTCTTTGTTTTTCCTCTGTCTTGATTTCATTATTTTGGAATGCTCTGCCCTTGAGAGTTTAATTTAGCTTAGTTAGCTAATTTGTGTTTTTTTTAGGTAGGTAGAAGTTTTTGTAGCCGCCGCTTTTCCATATTAAAAATCCCAAATTCTTAGTAGGCTTGTGCAGCAAGAGCACAATGTTTTTTTAAGTATATATAAATGTATATTGTTTAGATGTCATATACTTGAATATAATATAAATAGTAATAACTATTATTGTTCTTAATATTTCTTTTTCTGTTTTAACATTTTGCCATAATCATTTAGTTAGTATGTATATTTTCATTAGGTCCTAATATGATTTCTAAATTAAGGAATGTGGTAAAGGCGGAAAATAAAATAACGCTTCATAGATAGTTGTAGAAACCTTAAGATTTAAGACAAAGAAGTGGAAACTAAAGATTAAGTTTAAAATCGAACGTAAATTTGTAAGTGGAAACCTTTCCTGAACTGAGCCATTTTTTCCTAAATTATTGACAAGTTAACCAAATCAATAATATACACCAATCTAATCCATTGTGCAAAATGTTCGATATTTTTTAAAGTTTAAACTGATGATATATTCCGTTGAAATCACGCTTCAAAGTTTAACTTTTTTTTATTTGCTTTTGGTTTTCTGGTTGTTTTGGATTTCTTTCTACTTATTCGTCTGATTTTGTTAGGTCGTCATAACATTAGTCTATGCAGGGGTTATACATAATATTTATATATAATATATATTTTTTATGATTTCGCCTTCTTTCCTCCTGTTAATATGTCTGCCATGTCCATTTCATTTAAACACACATAGATTTTTACTTACACAGTTAAGTACGTAATGCTCAATAATTTTAACATAATAAATAATTTACATAACAGTTTAAGTTGCCTTTACGTTCTCTGCTTGGTTTATATTTTCATTAGTCAGTAATATTATCCACTAGTAATCCTTCAACGATTGAAAAACCAATTTAAAACCGGAAAGATCCCTTTAATCATTGGACTAATTTAAAAACCAAAGTAAACTTAACATTTAAAAATTATACTCTTCTCGGTCATCCGTTAAATAGTTTGAGTATATAGAGATTTTGTATTAAATAGAACATACTCGTAGTTTTATACTTTTGAAAATTTTCAATCAGGGAATTCATGTGTGACTATATGTAAAATCGATCGAACTAATTTCGGATGTAACGGACTCAGTGAAAGTGGACACATCGCTTTCTATATAGGATTTTATAGCTTTCACTTTCACTTTCACGATTTGCTGTTCAACCAATGAGATATAACTTAGACACCTATGGTATTACTTAATCGGCGTTTTGTGTGTTCCAGTATGTTTATGTTGAGATAACTGCATAGATGAACAATTTTTGCATTAACTACGATATTTCGCTGATTGTTGCTTGTCGTTTCGGGTGAGGAGGATTCATTTGTAGCTGATGATGATGCATTCGATTTCTATGTCTGACGGTTCGCTTAAGTGTTCTTTGGTTACTTTTATACGTTTGATAGATGTGCTGTAAGTCTGTAAAACAATTCAGGCAAGTGGAAATGTTAATTATTATTTTTAAAAAATGATACTCATCTAGAAATGTCCTTAACACAAAGGCTTATTTATTTAATGTCCACCCACAAACCAATTAATATTAATCAGTCTAATATTACTGTCTTAAGATCTATGGCTGTGTATATCATTAAGATTAGATTTCCATCCTGAGGCCAAACCCTTTTTTTTGTAATTCCTAACCACATATCAAATTTCATGTTAAATGTACAAATATTTCTTTCATTACAATGAGAATGCATATCAAACTTGTTGAACTGTTTATTCACCTGCGTTGGTTATCCATGGTAGCGCCTTACTTCATGTTCTTCAGGATCTCGTCGGTCTCCTCGGGATCCTTGAGGGTGTGCCACTGGGCGATGGGCCGGCGGGGCGAGGCCAACATATCGGACCAGTGACGCAA